TCTCTCTCTTCTCTCCCTCCCTCCCTCCCTCCCTCCCTCACTATAACTATGTCTTTCAAATACATATTTCAAAAATATCTATTTTAATTGGAAAGGTAGATTTACAGAGAAGGAGAAACAGAAAGAAAGGTCTTTTGTCCACTGGTTTCAGGATCTGAAGCCTGGAGCCAAGAGTTTCTTCCAGGTTTCTCATGTGGATTCAGGGTCCCAAGGCTGTGGGCCAACTTCCACTGCTTTCCCAGGCCACAAACAAGGTGGACAGGAAGCAGAGCAGCCAAGACATGAACCGGTGTTTCCAGTGCTTGCAAGGGGAGGATTAGCTAATTGAGCCATCACATCAGGCCCTCTCTTGACTATTTCTATAACTTCTTTGGAGACAAGTTCATGCAGATTCTTTATCCACTTTTGAATTTATTTGTTTGTTTATTTATTACTGCAGAGTTACACGACAACACTGTATATTTTGGATGTTAACCTCTTATCAGTTCTCTTTTCCCTTGTTCTGGGGAGATTGCATCTTCATTTTATTAACGGTTTAGTGTACAGAAGCTTGCTAGTTGATATAATTATACTTGTTTTTCTTTTGTTTCATATGCTTTGGTGTCATCATCCATGTGGAAACTAAAGTATTTGCTTGGAATAAACCTAGAAGACTGTGAAATGGAGACCTGACAGAGTTTGCACCATGTGAAATACTGATATTTGAAGAATCTTGAAAATTGTAGAACATTATGAAAGAAATATCTGTACATCCTATTACATTCTTAAGAGTAAAAGGCTACATATAAAATATTTACTACCAAACTGCCTTGTATCTCAGTAAGAACTCTTTGGTCAACATGACTCTTGTATTGAGTTGCTTAAGGATTTTTTAAGTTCTTTTTTTTTTTTTCCTAGCAGAGAAACTACATTTAATCACGATCAAATACTTAAATCCTTTTATTAAGTACACTGACATAGCTATCAACATTTCACCCTTGCTATCACACTATTAGTATTTTGTGCCTGGACATTCTTCATAAATTTATTTGAATTTATGGAAAACAGTAATATCAGGGATTAAGTTGTCAATTTTATCTCAATGATGGCTTTTTACAAATATTCCCCAGTTGGACTCTCCCAGACGGAGTGTCCCTCCACTTACTAAGCAACACTGCCACCTTGGGGCTAACTCCATTTATTTCTCAGGGAAACTACTGTCAAACTATAAGGTCCTTGAAAACATTCATGGGGAAATGGAACTGAGAACTAAGTATATTTTGCTGTTAAAATGTTAAAAACAAAACAAAACAAAACTGCAGTTTTTCAGGGTACACATTTTTCATGAATTTTTCATCATCTGGTTAGTTTCCAAAGTTGGAGGTGATTAACAGGCCTCACATTTGCCTAGAGCATCATTTGACAACATCAGCAAATGCTTCTGAAATGCACAGTGAGCCATCAAGTAACACATTCCCATTCTAACTGCAGGCTTGTCACGAGGAGAGCTGGACCAACCATATGACTCTAAATTTATCACCTATGCTAAAAGATAGGAGTAAACAGACAGAATTACAGCACCCTAGTCCCAGCAATCCAATGCCAGAAAGCAGTAGCCAGATGATCTGATTTGTTCAGGGCTACTGAGATCATCTCACACTTGTCCAATTACTATGTTTTAGATCATATTTGCATGCATCATATCAATTGTATCCCTAAAATTATGGCTTGTTATAATGAAATAAGCCAGTACCATACCCATTGATCTCATTCACTGGTTGTCTGCCAGACATAAGAAGGAGATCACCGTCCATTTTGGTAAGCAATGGTCAGGGCTTGGCAGGTATCAAGGCCATGCTGACATCAGTGGGTGGTTTTAGATCCGAAATTGTGTCATTACATTTCATTGTGGAATAAGAAAATGAGATTCTGCTTTACTTCCAGTATTAAGGCCAACACACTTCAGTTCTTTGGCATTTCAATGGTATATTTGGACTTAGATTCCAATAAAAAGCTCCCTGAGGCTGGTGCAGTGGCATAGCCAGCTAATTTTTTGCCATTGGCACTAGCATCTTATACGGGATCCAGTTTGCATTCCAGCTGCTCCACTTCCCAATCCAGTTTCCTGCATAAGGCCTCGGCAAGCAACACCACCTGGGAGACTTGGAAGGAACTCCTGACTCTTGGCTTCGGTTTGGTGCAGCTTTGGTCATTGAAGCCATTTGGGAAGTGAACCAGCATATGGAAGATCTCTCCCTCTCTTTGTTTCTCCTTCTGTCTCTGTAACTCTGACTTTCCAAGTAAAATAAATCTAAAACAAACAAACAAAAAAAAAACCTAGGCAGAGGAACCTATCTAGGCCAGGAAAGAATTGTTCCTGATAATTCTACATTAAAGGCACTACTTAAGTCATATTAAAAAGAAAACTCCCTAACATCTTAGTCTTCATTATAGACATAAAATTTTTCTGAGCAATACCACCAAGAAATCTTCCACTCAGCCCAAACCATAGAATGCTACTAGCAGTCATCTGTCCTGTGAGAAAGTGTATGTGGGCTATCCAAAAATGAGTAAGAGTGGTCTTCAAAGTGCCCTGTTACCTGGAGAGACAGCAGGAGAGGCACACAGCCATGGTATACAAGGTGTCTGTACTATTAAGTATCATCCTCCCTTCTCGCCCTCAACACTCAACAATCTTAGATGAGAGGCACAAAAAATGTGTGTCAAAGGACGGAGTTATTCACCTGCAGGTGCCATTATAGGCTTACTTTCCCTTGTGTACTTCACCATAATATTCATATCCTATTCCCTTTTATAGATTTTATACAAATATTAGCTTCATACAAATTAATGTACTTAAATCATTTTATTGGTGTGTACCATTTTCTCTTTTAAACTTGCTATACTTCTTATTTGAAGCTTCTCACTTTGGAATGCTTTTAAAATTATAAAACAAAAATTGTGGAGTTTTACAAAGAGACCCCATTTCCCCCACACCCAGCATCCCTTATTATTAACGTGTTGAACCCCAAATATTTGTAGCAATCTACAAATCACAGCCAACTTACCCTAACTTCTTACTACAAACTTCCTCTATGATTCCATTTCTTCCGTCAGATTGGCTCTTCACAACAGAATCACAAAAGGATGCAACTGGATGTAACGTTAAACTCATAGAAGGCGGGACAAATCCCGCTGCCTGGCCCTCAGCCAGCCGGCCAGCCGCCATCTTGTGACCGCCTAACATACACGTGGGGTCGTCCGCTCCCCACAGTAGGCATTCCAATATTTGATGAGATTTTAGACATGACCTTTTAACATATAACATACACAACTCAGAGTAACTATTACATAGTTTTAAAACATGCTGAATTTTCCAGAAATGCAATTGCTGTGTAAATCAAGGCAAGACTAAGAATTGCCCATTGCTTCAGAAAGGTCTGGACAGCGTTAATGCTGTGATCTTCCGTTGCCAAAACAATATTCATTGATCTGATTTGTAGTTGGTGATTCTACATGGAGTTATATTAAGGATATATTAAGGATTTTGTACTGAAATGCATTTTTTTTAAAGAATCGCTTTCCTTTTTTTTCTGCTTTAATGTTATAATTATGGTATTCACTGTTGAAATGATACATGCATATAGATTAACTTCAACTTTTATTTCTGGAAATTCAGAGTATTTGAGTATAGGAAGCAGTGAACCTGTGCAGGATTCAGAGAACCAGCAATTTCATCCAACCTGCTCATTTTGCAATGGAACTGGGCTCAAGAGAGGTGAAGTAACTTATCAAGGCTACAAAGCCAACTAACGACCACACTGGGACTAGGAGTTATCCAGGCACCTAGCATGCTCCTTCCGCTCCTTCCACCACTTTACATGGCCTCAAACGGATGAAGACAAACACGTCCAGAAGGAGAAAAATTAAACTCACACCTCTCAGTATGAGTTGTCACCACTAGATTTGAAGGGCAGGGACCAAGTAGGTCCCCATCTTCCTCCCATTTAGGCACAAAATTTTTATAAAAGCTTGTTTGTTTTTCACCTGAAAGGCCTCAGGTGCTGATTTTGGCAATACACTTTTTCAAACTGAGCCATGGCCAAGTCAGGGTTTCACTGCAAGAGGTCTCCAGAGGGAACAGTCATTTGTAAGGCTTGCATGTAAAGCTGGTTTGAAGGTGACAAACAAGGCAGGAACAGCACTTATCTCAGGAAAGCAGCACTTTGTATTCTTATCTAGAATGTGTACTTTTGAGTGCATTTGACAGTGAGCAAATCAAGGGATACATTCTCAAGTTGTAGTCAATAAATGGGCCCCCTCTTGAGTTTAGGGATTTTGGTCAGATAGCCCCTACGAGGTCTGATCTGCAAACAAGTAGGCAAAATAGGTACAGGGCATGTCCCTGACAACTTTGTGTTTAATGCCTGCATTACAACAGTATGAAACATTGCCAGAAAATAAACAGGAAATGATGAGCCTTTGTCTAAAACCTGGCTTCTAATCAAATTACTGCCTCACAACAATGAAGAAGGAAAATTCTCTCAACTGAGTAGCTTCAACATTAAATACTCAACCAAATCAGGCACTCTCTAGAACAGCAAGGCGAGCTAACCAGCATGATTTTCTTTAGTTACCATCTTCTGCATTTAGACTTAATTCGCTGCTATCCACAGAACTTCTCCAATCTTTGAGTAGGGCTATCATCCAAAGCTTAAAAGGGAGTTTAAAAACCCAATATTGGTTTCACAGTAATAGCTGATGCCAACAATTATAACATTTATGGTTAACCTGGGAACTAATTTGTCCTTTCTCCTGGACTCAAAGACTTTCCATGTTTGCTCACAGAATTGCTTTCAAAGAGCCTGGTTAGTTCAGCATAGAAGTCTAGAACCTTCATAATGGATTTTGCTTCAAATGAATATGATCCTAAACACCTATGCAATCATTTTTATGAAATTAATGCAATTTGTATCTATAAAATATAAAATGAAATGCAATGTATCTACAGTTACAAATGCGCTAAGCCAAAGCATTTAACTGTCTCTGTGGAGTGGTACACAGAATTGCCTTTTCACATTAAGGTAAGTGAGGACGGAGGCAGATAAGGCGGGTAGATGGAGACTGCAGATGTTGGTTGTGATGGTGGACTGTGCCAAAGGAGCACATCTGGTGGCTTTAAAACCCTAGGGAGAAAGACACATAGCTCATTATTCTGGCTCCTTCCTTAGATTTTCTTTTGTATACACCTAAAAGAAAGCAGATGCTTGAGCTAGGCTTACAGCCATAAAACCTTACAACTAGAATATTCTCCTACAGATTTACTAAGGAATGACCAGCAAAGGGGGCCCAGGGCTGCAAGGTGTGGGTATGGGGAAAGAATGCTTTTTAAAAAGCAAACATTCATTTGGGTGCACAATGTGAAAACCACAAAAGAACCAGATCCATTGGTACCATCTCACTTACTTGGCAATGTACATCGTATTGGAGAAGGGCTCCGACTTCGAGATAACTGGAAAACACAAAAATGAGATGTGAATGGTGGAGCTCAAGGGATGAATCCTTCTGAAATGTTTTTTCCTAAAGTCTCAGAGGCACTCCAGAACTATGATTTTTTTTCCCCCAGGGTTGACCACAGTGATGTCATCAATGTTCATTAGAGTAAATCGAAACACAGTTTGTTTTGAATCATCTTATTGATAAAAGTTGGTGCAACGGCTTAGGAGCAGCCATATCGAATAAAGTGCTTTGTAGGAAACAATACTTAACTCTTAGAGCTATATCTCTGGTGAATTTATCATAAATTATTCCAGGTGTCCAAAGCTCTGCCCTGTTAAGGTTCCCAGCAGCCAGAAAAGAGCCATTTTTTCAGATCTTGCCTTTACTTTCACCAAGTGAGAAGCCCCACAGGCACTGTCATGTCAGTTAGAGCTCAGAAATAACCAGCTGCCAGTACTGTGCTGGCTCGGGCTTTCAAACCCTTTAGTTAAACAGATGCTGATGAAGATGGAATTTGTTCTGGATGAATTGGGATCTCAAAAATTCCCAAACCAGACCAACCAAAAACACTTGTCTTGGATTTTGCTTGTACCCAGTTTCACTGTGGGGTGAGAATGATGAGATGAGAAAGCTGGCTTACCCTTGAGAAAAAAAAAAATAGAAACTTGTTGGTCCTCTCTTACACAGAAGGAAAGAGAGGCAGAGCGGGCCCAGATAAGTGCAAGGACTGAGCAAGCGACACTGCCACAGACAAGCCTTCCCCTAACAATCCTCACTCAGTGTGCCCCAGGGTTGAGCACATGGAGCCTAACACCACTCTTTCTTCCAGTAGGCCATTTCCTCTCAGAATGGCAAGAACTGTGACTCCCCTAGGATACTGTTCCCAACATTTCTTTTTTATTTATCAGTTTACTAAATATACTATCCTATTTGAAAATTGGGATCATTAAGCTACTATAAGATCTCAAAGAGAAAAAGGACTGTTAAAGGCATGTCTTCCCCACTTCGTTAGTAATTCCCATGCCTTTTCCTCCACTTTAATATGCCTCTCCAATTCCCTGGACCCTAGAAATCCTACCCTTTCTCAAACACTAAATCATACACCAAGGCCCTTCCCGCACTGTCAGACTCAGAAGCAACCTCTGGCTCCTATGCTGGCTACATAGCATTGTGTCACAAGGTGGACTTCATCGTTACTTACAGACTGGACCCCATTCAGTTCATTTCTCTCCTCCTATACTGTCATTCACTCAGGAAAGAGAATCTCTTTTAGTTATTTTTTCATCCTTCCCAAACCCTACCTCCAGCACTTACAGAAGGCATGCTTGAGAAGCAGCACAATGACAGAGCCTATTGAACTCAGTAAGAATGGCTAGTCTTCCTAACCCCAGGACTTTGTTGCTTATCTCAGGTTTTGTTTTGGTGAGGTCTTGCAACTTTATGCAGCTGCGCTGCTGGAGACAATTTTGTAGAAGTTTAGGGTTGCCATACATGGCTCTCCTCCACCTCTCTCTCTTCAACCCAGATGAAGAAATGTTTAAAGAATTTTCAGAAGAGGAACAATGGCTTGTTAGCCTATATAACACCTACATGTCTTGGTCTAGCCAAAAGGCATTGACTAAATATTGGTATTGGAATAAACCAATAGTGATGATTCATAATAATTTGAGGGATATTATTAGAATTAACACATACAGAAATTAATCTTATCTTTTCCTACTATAAAGTTGGGAGAAATGAATTCCTGAAATGTACTTCATAAAGTTCAGACCATCTTCTATGTCAATCAGTGGATTTTTCAAAGCCCTCATAGTGCTTGGAGTGGCAAGATTGACAACGATTCATAACTGTTGCAATATCAAAACCACTTGAGCAAGAACCTCAGCGCATGCCCTACATCCGGGACCTGGGGAGGGTGGGAAATTGGGCGGGCCTTCTCCCTTAAACAACCTCCTTTAAACATGAAGGTAACAATATGGAAAACATACTAGTATTATCCACTTTCATGTAGCCCTTGAACCTTCTTACCCTAATTAACTATGTAAAGAATGTCAAAATAAAATTTTATAAAAAATTAAAAAAAAAAAAGTTCAGACCATCTGAGCAATTTCTCCAAATTTTCACAATAATTTCTACAGAAACCAGGGTCTTGTCCACATTGTGTATTTAGAAGACTATCTGGGCCCACTGCAACGGTTGTGATTAAATCCTTGCCTTGCCCATGCAAGCATTCCATATGGGTGCCAGATCATGTCCCAACTACTCCACTTCCCAGCCAGCTCCATGCTTATGGCCTGGAAAAGCAATAGAGATGGCCCAAAGTCTTGTGACTCCAGACATGGGAGACCTGGAAGTAGTTCCTGGCTCCTGGATTCAGAATGATTCAGCTCCGACTATCATGGCCACTTGGGGAGTGAACCAGCAGATGGAAGATCTTTCTGTCTTTCCTTCTCTCTGTGGATCTGTCTTTCCAATAAAACAGATAATTTTTTAAAAAGGACTATCTGATCTTTAATAGTGCATTCCATCCAAAGACAGAAATAAAATTATAAAATAAATTCTATTATTTTTTTAAAGTAATTTGTGCAAAAACATCTCTATTTCACTCATTCCAGTCTAATGAACTCCTTAGCCCACAGTAGTTTGACCATCATTTGGTGGTTAATGTTATTGCAGAAGGTTCTTTTCTACTTATCAATTCATAATCACTTTCTTATAGGTGACTATTAAAGCAAACAAAATATTGACCTCAGGAAGTTTTGGATAAAAATGATTAGACAGCTATGTACCGTGCTTAGACCAATACGGCTGCGAGGACAGACTGGACTCAAACTCCTGCTTCGACACCGAGTTACAGACCGTACGGAATTCCACTGGAAAAAAAAGAGAGGGCAAGGTAAATGGTCAGGAGTCTGGGGAAGTTCAGATAGCTTAAGGCAACAGGCAGATCCCACGAATGACCAGTTCTACTGATGAGATCATAATACTTGCCCATTCCTGACCAGCTTGTAAGCTCCCTTCCATTCCTAGAACTGCCTAGTATCTGGCAATGACTTAGGGAACTTCACCCATACAATCTCTCCTCCAATGAACTAGAGAATATTAGGTTCCTGGACCTAGTGAAATTGATTCTATGAGTAAGCTGCTAAGAATTTGTGTTTGAGCTTTCAGGCATTGGAGAATGTAAGCTCTGTGTGGCAAGGGATTTTTGTGGGTTTTATTGATTGCAAAAAATTCCTCACCCTTAAACACAGTGCTTGGGTCCTAAGTAATGGCTACACAGATAGGTATCACTGAATAAAATAAATGAAACACAATTTTTGCCCATCTACTCTCAAAAACTCTATGAGCTAAAATCAGATTTGCATAATGAGAGTTTCTTAATGGACAGTGATGGTTGTAAGGGCAAAAAAAATGTTTTGTGAGATCATTCACTATGCAGCACCTGTAATGATCAGAGCTACAAAATCCAATTCTAAGGACTTCATAGGACAGCAATTTTTGTTATGATAGTATTCGCTGGGGATTTTTAAACTGCAAAAATTCTCTGTTGCCATTTTTGAAAAGAAAGGACTCGCCTTCAATGTAAGTGGGCTGAGCTGCCACTCAGCAGCTCCTCCATTCACCCGTTCTAGGGGAACAAGGACAGAAAGCAGCCAGAGTGGCTTTACTCCACACTACAGGACTTCACTTCAGAACTGATTTTTTCTTTCTAGGAAATGTAATCATAAAAATGACACAATACAAACTATAGGGCCAGCATTTTGGAGTAGCAGGTAAAATTGCCTGTTGCAATGATGGCATCCCACAAGGGTGCCAGTTGGAGTACTGGTTATTCTATTTCTTATTCTGCTTCTTGCTAGTGAACCTGGGAAAGCAGCCAAGTGGTTGGGCTCCTTTTTCCACAACCTGGAAGAAGCTTCCAGCTCCTGACTTCCATCTGGCTCAGACCTGTACATTGCAGTCATTTAGGAAGTGACCCAAAAGATGGAGGGTCCCTACCTTTATCTCTCTCTCTTTGTAACCCTGTCTTTCAAATAAAATCAATCTTTAACAATAACAAAAGAGAATTTCCAAGCACTCATTCCACCAATTCCAGCCCCACTCCCCCAGGCACATCAACACACACACAACCACACACACACACACACAACCCTAAAATTCCACTTAAAGACACCTCAACTGTTTAACATTTCTAAAGTATTCCATAACCAATGTATATAAGAAGCAACTTTCAAAGCTGATTGGCTCTTCTCTCTCCATCTTCTCAACCCTCTTTGCCTCCCCCCTCCTCTCCCTATACATCATTCCAAGGAGAGAAAAATGGCACATTCAGTTTCCCAAAACGGAGAATTGGCAGCAAAATTTTGACAAATGGTTTCCCGATAGTAAGTCACTTTTCAATGCTTAGAATTACCAAAAGCCTGTATCCTACAAAGCCACCAATGGAGTTATCACTAGCAGCAAATGATGCAGAATTGTGGGAAAATCAAAGGGGGAAATACTATTATTTCTCAGACCATCTGCTTCCCCTCCTTGGTATGAACTATTATCAAACCAACTCTTTATGAATTTCCTTTATAGAATCTCCGGGTTTATAAATGTTCTCGAACTTGTGAATCAAACACTTGGGTTGAATTGTCACTATGCAAGGCCAGCGTACAAAAGCCCCTCTCCTGGTGACAGCTTCTCCCTTCATGATGACACAGTCGTTCTCCATGAGTGCAGGCCACACATGATACAAAACCAGTGGAGCTGTGAAATCGGAGTCATAGCTGCGGCGGTACCTGGTGCAAAGAGGCAAGCAGTAAGAACGGAAGGGTAGGCCACTGCCATTATGTAGCATGTTGGGGGGGGTGGGGAGCGGACAGGAGACATCATTACATTACACCCAAACCTAGATGAACATGACTGTGGGCCTTCAGAATAGGAACCAGTGGTATTTAAGCCCCAGCATGGACGTTGGGACCAAGGCTATCACTCCAGTTTATTCTTATTTTCAGGATCACAAGAACTACAATTCAGGAAACATCTGGAGACATAAATTATGTGAAGCCTGTAAGATTCCTACCAAATCTCGCACACTATCCCTCTGAACAAAATAAAAGAAACACAGGTGGATAATAAACAAGTAGGTGGACTGGAGACTGGCTCAATGATCATATCTAAAGAGGGAAGAATAATGAGTCAATGGGAATCTGAATGATGACGAGAGCTCCCTCTTAATGCAGTGATGTCAAGTTTATCAATAACTTGTTATAAATGTAGAACATGTGCTCAAAGGTGGGGGCAGATAGCAAAAGAAGAAATTATAACAAATAACAGTACCAAAAAAAACTTCAACACCTCAGTAGGTTGGAACAATAAGCTGGAGCTAATAACAAAAACTCCAGTGTGAACACACTTAAAATCTTGAAGTTGAGTCTAAGAAGTATTTAGCTGCCCAAAATATGACTTAGTCACAGTACAAGTAAGACCATAATAGATTTAAGTTGTACTTAAAATGAGTCAAGAGTGTTATAAAGCAGGAAGTAGGAAAAAAAGATAAGAAGAGAAAGAAAGGAAGGAAGAATGGAAAGAAAGGAGGATAGGGAATGGAAGGAAAAAGAAAGGGAGGAGGGAAAGAGGGAGACAAAGTGAAATGGAGGAACGGAGGGAGGAAGAAAAGGAGAAGGGAAGAGAGAGGGAAGAAAGAAGTAGAAGGCAGGTATTCAGCCTAGCAGTGAAGACACCAGTTTCAAATGTTGTCCCACACTGGAGAAGCTGGGCTTCATTCCCAGCTCAGTTTTGTCTTTGTGCTAATGCAGATCCTGGAGGCAGTGGTGATGGCTCAGGTAACTCAACTGGATAAGCGAAAGTCCAATGTCTGTAAATGTGCAGGCTCCATAAACTAAAACAGGTGAGTGCTTCAGAGTGGCACTGTCTATCCTCCATAAGAGAAAGCAGTAAAGGCAGGAGGATTAAGATAATGTCTTCTTTTAGGTAACCAACAGGATTCATACATTGTCCTAACATCTAGCTCTTCCATGAGTGGATGCATGCTGACAGCAGTGAACAGGGAGAAACCAGAAAGATTAACGACAAGAAAATATGATGCATTACACTGAACCAGAAAGCCCATCATTGTGCTTTATCATCAAGTGTGCAGGGATGCTAGGCGCCCTCCAGCCCATAATTCTATGACCTGAACAGAGACCCAGACTAACACTTCCTGAGTATTAGGAATGCATAAAACCCCAAGATCCTTCTGAAAACCTTCAGTGTCTCTCCCTCTCTCAAGAAGGACCCCCTTCTCCTGCCCTCTTCTGGGAGAAGTCTTCTCTTTCCCTCTTCTTTCCACACTCACCTGATCACTTTCACAAATAAAGCTTCTCTGTCTTAAAAAAAAGTAATAAAATGTGATATACAATTGTATTTACACATAATATTTCTTTATATAAAAAAGGTTTCGAGCAGTTTTGGGGTACTCATTAATTCTTCCCAAAGATGATGTGCTCAATGGCAAATGGCACTAGGAGAGGGCTCTGCCATGTAATGGAGGGGAGCACACTGCAGGGCCTAGCAAGCACATGACATCTATTGCTCTCCCCACTCACAGCTCCTTTCCATAAGCAATGCCCAGAGAATGGAGACAAGACCAGGCACTAATAAGGCATCCCTTAGTGTCTTCTCCAGTGTTTCTTACTTGCAATCATTAAAAATCTCTCCATCTGCCCCAAATGCAATATCCAGAGGTGGTTCTAAAGACTGCATGGCAAACGCGATGCAGCATATCTCCTGGATGAAGTCGCTGAGGAGGCAGAAGTCTACCTCAGGAGGGAATGAAATCTTGGGGTTGACATTCATGGCTCGGATCACATCCTGAAAAACAAGAGATGGCATTGTCTTGTTACCAACTGTTGACAAGATACTCCAGCACCCTAGGGATGTTCTGATTGATGGGGAGAAGGCACATGAGTGAACCCAACATGCGCAACATGCCCAACATGCTCAAAGGAGAAGGATGCTGCCACTCAACAGGACAGAAGAAAACACCAGAGCACCAACACTGGAGGCCAGGGACACGCCTCTAGAAGATCCAGGCAACAAAATCACCTGGGACTTTGTGTATTACTTTCTTTTCTGTTCTGGTTAAGTGGATATGGTATACCAAAACAAAACTCTGATGTGTTCATAGCCCTTAAAAATTACCAAGAATGTGACAAGTATTGCCCTAAGCAAATGACCCGCCCGCTTTCTCTCAATAATTTCACCAGGTAATGACCACAGCTGTTTCCACTTAAAGGTTAGCTTACAAAGGCACAGATAAATTAAGCAAATGTGTGAAGTCACACAGCAGGCATGTGGCAGGGTCAGGATGTGATGCACATTTTCTCAAAATCCTTGCTCTGAAGCACCACGGCATTCTGTCTCCCAGTTTAACTATAGAATAGAACTCCAAGGCTCAGAACTTTTTTCTTCCTGTTAAAATGTCCAAGAAAGAGCCGACAATGACCAGCCCCGCTAGGGAATCGGTTGCTTCTCCTTTCTTGCCTCCCATCACATAGAAACAATACTAAGTACTGCAATGGTTCCTGAGTTCTCAACACCCAGAGGAGACACCAGCAGTGGGAGGAAGCCCTCCCGAGAGATCCCACACTCACGTTCACACTGCTTTGGGAGTCGTAGAGATCAAGATGACAAATGATGTAGTCTGAGACAATATTCTCAAAGTCATTCGACCCCGCGTAGGACGGGGTCAGTGACTTCCGCACACGGATCTTGAAATGTCTGAAAGCCATTTTAGCTACATGGAATGCCTCCTGCGTGTAAAAACACAGCACATTTGTTCAGTGGCAAGAGGTGGGGAAAGAGGTCCAATGCAAGGAATCAGAAAGAATAAAAAATTCAACAACATATTGGTCTCTTGACAACTAAATGAACTTGATCAAAAGTATTTTATTCTAGGAGAAAATACATTTTGAAAAATACATAAACACATCCAGTAGTCCTCCCTTCCCCATGGGTTCAGTTACCTATAGTCAATTGTGGCTCAAAATTCTACTATAGTGCAATGATAAAATATGATTTTAAAACACTGAGAGAGCACATATGAAGAACTTTCTATTGCTTTCTATTGCTATTGTTGTTAATCTCTTGGTGTGTCTCTTTTATAAATTAAGCCTCATTGTTGGTATATATGTGTATACATGAAAGCACGTTACATGCACAGGGCTCAGTGTTTTCAGTGATTTCAGGTGCTCATTGGAACATCACCTTCACAAATAAGGAGACCCCACTGGCTATGACAATTCACACTCACTGATTTCAAGATAACTCACCTCTGCTCTGGTACTTCTGTGTGCAAGTGGTGGGACAGGGCAGAGATTCAAGGAAATAAATCCTCTGCTTGGAAGGCTTCTTATTTCACAAGAAATAAGAGCAACACATTTGTATTTTGTAAATACATAACAAGTCAGGTATGCTTTCTTGCATATATTAACTCCAGAAACTTTCATCCTTTTTATGCAACAGGCATTAGGAAAACTCAACTGTGCCTGAAAGAGCAGAGCTCTGATTTCAGGGTTCTAACCAGTTCAATGAATAATCAATGAGATGGCATAAGGACCTAGGAATGGTGAGCTGCTTTGTCTAAAGACCCAAGTAGGGTCCCGGAACGGTAGTCTAGCAGCTAAAATCCTCATCTTGAAAGTGCCAGGATCCCATATGGGCACCAGTTCTAATCCCAGCAGCCCCGCTTCCCATCCACCTTTCTGCTTGTGGCCTAGGAAAGCAGTCAAGGGCGGCCCAAAGCCATTGGACCCTGTAGCCATGTCGGAGACCCAGAAGAAGCTCCTGGTTCTGGTTCTTGGTTTCGGATGAGCTCAGCTCCAGCCATTGTGATCATTTGGGGAGTGAATCAGCAAATGGAAGTTTTGCTTTGTAAATCAGGATTATATTTGAGTACTTTAAAAAAAAAGTTGGGTTTGTTTTTTTTTTAAATTTATGAGAATGAAAGTGAGCTCTCACCCACTGGTTTATTCACAAATGCCTACAGCTGCCAAAGCCAGGAGCTGGGACCTCAGCCCAAGGCTCAGCCCAAGGGAGCCAACCAGCTGAGCTGTCGGTGCTGCCTCCCTGACATGACTGCAGGAACTAGAGTGGGAATCAAACTCTGGAGTCCTCACTGGTGGGCTAAACTACATCCCTTGGATTCTTAGTTTAGGGTGATGGCCTTAGCGATCACTCTTAAACGGAAGAGTTAACACAACCACAATCATGATTTTCTTTCCCTCTAAGACTTGAAAGAAACCAAGTGATCATTCCTAGCAAAACAAACAAAAACGTCTGTGTGTGTGTGTATGTGTGCGTGTGTGTGTGTGCACACGCACACACGAATGTGCCCACATAAGACAAAAGGTGCAAAGCAATTTCAACTTCATAGACACCCACTGGAGATGGCCATCTGTTTACAGGTCCTTCTTCAACAAATGTCTGGTAAATATAAGTAACGCGTGAAGGAGTGCAGTGTTGTTGACCGTGAAAAATGACTCGTCGCCAAATATTTGCGATAGAAGGAAAGAAGGGAGGCAAAGCAAAGTCAGGGAATCTGTGCTGCTCTCTTCCTTTGGAGACCTCCGGATCTCCCACCACACCGTTGTCCCCTCCACTGCCCCCCAGTGGGTCTGAAGCTCCCGGGGACCAACCGGGCGACAGATGCACACGTACCACGGTGGCGATGTAGATGATTCGCTGCACCATATCCGCTTTGTCGATGCAGCGCCGCAGCAAGCCTTGCGCATCCAGGCGGGCCTGGGAATAGGCATCGCTGAAGCGAGAAAGGAGGGCTGCTTTGCGCGCCACACTGGACAGCTTGGCCCGGTTGGGCGACGGGCTCCTGATTTTGGCGACTGCGGCAGAGGGACTGGCAGACCGGCTGCGACTCTGGCTGCGGCTCTGGCTTCGGCTCTGGCTGCGGCTCTGGCTGCGGCTCTGGATCTGGCTCTGGCTGCGGCTGCGAGCGTTGGGGCTAGGAGACCGGCTCCTGTCCGACCTGTCGGTGAGCAAAAATCAGCCAGAAACCGCCCCCCCACCTCCCTGTGGTTTCTGGATTCGGGTTCTCCTCCCCGCAGAAATAGCAAAGAACCCTGAATTTCAACTGCAAACAAGAATAACTCCGTGGCTGCGTGGTGGCTTAGGATTTGTAAAGTACTTGCACTCATGCAGAACTTCCAGTTAGCCTTTAAACAACTCTGGGAGACTGCTCACTTCACAGAGAGGAGTCAAGGTCAGAGAGGCTCATGGGCTCATCCTGGGGTAACTCAGCTAGCAAGAGCCAGATGTATAGGAGAAACCAGCCTTTAGTACTGCTTACCCTGAGCTCACTGACCAACACTGCACACAAGCACATCCCATGGGCTTTGTAGTTGGTGTAAAATGGAATAGACAGACTGAACAAGGCAAAGCAGATACTTGTTCTCATCCAGTTCCACCACATCACACCAATAGGATCCCTGCAACACATCCCCTCCTTGTGCCTTAGCTTTTACAAACATAACTGTTGTCCTGTTTTGGGGTTTGGGGATGAAGGGCCAGGACAACTAATGCTTACAGAAGCACTTGATGAAAGTTGTACTCTTAAACTAAAAACTATATTTCCACCAAATATGCAAAGTCTATTTGTATTACACCAAGTGCAAAGTAAGTTATCAGACTAGCTGGTTCAAAGGAAAAGTTCCCCTCCACTCCCAACCCCACCCCCAAAAGGGAAATTTTTGCAATGAAACTATGAGATCAAAGACCATGCAAAGCAGAGCAGCGCTGTGCTATGGAGGCAGTCAAGAGCAGGTTGGTTTGGGCAAACTTTCATTAATGCTGTTTGCCAATGCCCACAGTGCAGAGGCCCCTCACAGAAAGGCCAAACAAGGGAAATAGCCTGCCATCAAACAGACGGAGAGAGAACTCCAAGGCCTCGAAAGGAGGTTCCTGCTATGGAACATTATTTCCACATGGGCACCACTTGCTTTGCAGACTCCCACAAGCCTGTTTCAAATGAAAGAACCTCCCTCCTATTTCTCAGCCCACGATTAATAGGTGCCCAAGTACTGGCAACCCAGGAGGTGTCTTCTCTCTCCCTGGGAGAGTCCAGGTGAAGAAAAACAATTCCCTTATGACTCAAACGTCCCATGTTGTTGGGGCCTGGGGTACTATTTTCCTGTTTCTTTTCCTTCCCAGTTCAGACTTTTGCCATTAAGTTGGGGGTGGGGGGAAGGCGGGGTAGAGGGAATGCTTAAATGAGACGATCTGTAAGAATTTGTCAGACCTTCCTTGGAGATTGGCTTTCTCAGCAGACAGCACGGCTATCTCGTCCTTCAGGGTTCGGAGCTGTTTCTCATAGTCAGAAATCACATCTGTGTCCTGCTCTTCTGGGCTCCGCCTGGAGGCCCGTGGTTCAGATTTCCGCTGTTCAGAGCGCCTGGGCTCTGAGCTCCTGTGGCGAGCATCCTCCTGGGCTTGAAGAGATTTAAGCCTGAAGAGGAGAAAGACAGAGAGGGGAGGAGGGGGCAGGATAGAGATGACATAGAGAAAAGAAGAGGTGGTGGAGGAGGAGGAGGAAGGAAAGGAAGGGAAGGGAGGTAAGGAAGAAGCAGCAGTAACAATCACTGTAAGACTTCACACTTGGAAAGCTACTGGCGATGCTTATTGCTACATGTGATGGAAACAGGAACACATTAGCATGGAGGAGAAGTTCCAGGGCCAGGGCGCCACTCCACATGCCTGCACTGGAAAGGAAACTCAGGACGATTCTCTAGTGAAAGCAGAATAACCTTCGGGTCCTATAGTTGTTTCTCACTATCCTGATACTAACTACACACAATTCCAAAAACGTATGCCCTTCAGATCCTAGTCTAGAAGCTAGCCTAAGGCATCATCTCCCAGCCTCACCAACACTTCAGTCCTCTCAGTAAATAGAATACGGAGGAAATGATGATGGAAATGGAACCACATCCACAAGACTAGCTGGAAGTGTGGACTATGAAAATGGTGCAGCACAGAAACAAACAAACAAAAAAAACTCTGCAGCCTCCTCCAGTTACAAGAAGCATGTCCACTGGGTAGGTAGAAATCAAAGCCAAAAGAAGAGAACATGCTGTGATGAAAATAACAGTGATCTAAACAAACTGGAACGGAAGGAAGTAGAATTATAAAATTCACAGCAGAGTTAAAAACTACATCAGAATTGGGCCAGAATAGAACCGATGTCATAAGAAATTAGTAAATGAAATAATCAATGAACCAAATAGAAAGAAAGGAACTAAACCAAGGTGCCTGAGTATTCCTGAAAAAAGTCAGAACTGGAGCAGTGTGTACGTAATATGTGTAAAATATACTTACCATTTGGTTTTTTGGGGGTGGGGGAATGAAATTACTATCAAGGAGTGTTTAAAAGGATCATTGTTTACTTTTTCCTTCTAGCAATTTAGCTTTAGGGAATAAATTAAAATTGAAGATTTTCCCCCAAATTATCCCAAAGCTATTCTCAATGTTGAAAATTAGTATCTAAGTAAATATTCCATGTTTGATAAACAGCCAAGTAATAAAATATAATGGGTTTATTTAAAACTAAGTCTGCAGGACAATTGTCTTACTGAAAATAGGAAAACTACATTTTTTTTTAAACCCCTAGTTGTACACTTATGTACTTTATCTTAAATCTGAGTGAACCTTGGAAAATTCATGGAAAAACTGTATTAAAAAAATACACAAGTTTCGAAAATATTTTGTGCCAGATGCACTATTTATCTTTTAATTCCATTTCCTAAGAACTTTTTGTAGTAGTCTCACATTTTAAAATCTATTTTACTGAGAAGGACTGTTGCATGGTAAGAGCAACTGACACCAGAATTAAGAGAGCTTTCAGATTTCTTTATACTGTGTTGTACTTTCTATAGTACCTAGACACCATTGCTGCCGTAAGAAAAATACATGAAACAGTAATTGAGAATCCTGTCTCTTTTTCTCTTTGTGAGCAGACTCTTTCATATTGTAATAAAGCATCAAAAAAAAAAAAAACCCAAAAAGCTAAGTTCAACAATTAATCAGCAGGCTGCAAAAACCCTGCCAGTTTTTTTCCTTACTGCTTTTTTAGCTGATTTATTTCCTCCTCTGCAGCCAAAAGGGATATGGCCGATCTGTTCTTGGTTTCTTCCAGATTCCTTTCTGTTTCAGTCCGACTGTAAGAGAAATCAGTAACTAAAGACAGATTTTTTTCAAAATTGGCAGTCCTTCTGAATTGGTTCTTTCGAGAATTTTTGGCATGTGATAGAAGCTAAAGATAAATAAGATCAAATTGAAGGCCCCAACATTCAAATTGTATGGCAAATGTTATGGTGGAGTTGTATACCAAACCATGCTTTCATCCTTTGCTCAATGTCAAGCACATGTTATAGAGCTATTACCCTCTAAAAGACTATGACATAATTATTAGTGTTAGAATGTAAGAGAACAAAGAACTATACCATATTCCTCTTTCTTGTCCTCCTAATCTCAATGTACAATTACACCAGATTCCTGGCCTGCCTTTGTCCAGAAACCCTCCATTTTTTTTTTTTTTTTACAATATACCAGTACCTATTGTCATTCATTGTACTGTAGAGCTGCTTTTGACTTCTTCTCACAGGTTTCCTAAACGTTAAAAAAAAAGAAGAAGAAGAAGAAAAATTAGTCACCTACCTGTAGAGAAAGTTCTCCACCCCCGACTACCAAGCATTTGATGTTGCCTGCCTCTGCATTCCTCAATTTTCTGAGCAAAATTCCCTTTTGTCTACATAGGTTGACATTGTTTCAAGGATGCTCCTCACTGTCCGTTAGTTGTACTCAACCATACGCTTTCTTTGGGTCTATCTAAACTTCAGAACAAATGGACATGGAAAGGATGGCATGGATGAAAACCAACAGCCCCTAAGGCAGTTGTCTCAGCTAGCAAACAGAGGCATCGGGGGTCACTAAACGTTTCCTGGCTTCTCTGAGCTGGCCTGCCTAGGAAATCCAGTGCTCCTCATGACTGCTGTCCTGAGGTCGGGAGGCAAGTCACCACCCCCCTCCTCTCCTTCTCTTTGGGTGAAAAAACAGTAGAAGGTAAAACACAGGCATCTTCACCTACAGACGGAGGCAAATTGAGAAGTTCATGGGCTAACAATATCTCTGTCAGTCTGTAGATTCCCAACCAACAGACACAGTGAATTCCACCCAGGTTCTCACCCACCTGTCTGAAGCAAAGCTGTGCCCCCTCGCCCTCAGCTTCATCCACATGCATCTCACTGCATCCACAATGGTTTAATTTATTTTTTTTCTTTATTTTTGACAATCTTTACATAGTTGATTAGGGCACAAAAGGTCAAGGGCTACAGAAAAGTGGGTAAAACTATTGTTTCCACATTATTACTTTTTTTTCTGTATCTGGGGTAAAGGAGGAAGGGTTTTATTTGATTTGTTTCTGCCCCAAGCAGTTCAGACAGTACCTGTCACATGGTAGAGTTTTTTTTTTAATGAAAAGTAAATGCATGGATGAATGAATACAATCAGATGACTAAAGGCTAAAGGAAAACCGAGTAGCAACAGTGTCACAATATGACTACTGGAGGTTGAAAGCAACCGAGCTGGATTTAACTCAAATGTGAACACAATATGACTTTTAAGAAGGAAAAAACCATAGAATATGAAAAAGGAAAGAAAACAGACTGAGCGAGGAAGGGGCCAACAGGAATGAGGAGGAAGTTTAACTTTTCCCCAATACATGCATAAATGTGAGAGCACATGCATGTAAGAAGCAAACACATGTGCCAATGTCACACACCTGGACGCCATGCAGGGAGGAAGATGAAGCACACTCATGTGCCCAGAACTGTGCTTTTAAACCAGGCTAGCCCTTTATTTAAGTGTTTTGCTATAAGCTTATTCACTCACTAAGCAGATCGTTAAGAATTTACGGGGACCACACGTGATGCTCAGTGCTGGCAACACAGCAACAACAACACAGGGACAGAGCATGCTCCCTTCCAGGCGTTCATGGGAACGGAGTAAAAAGATAAGCCTATTTTGATGCAAAAATTTGAAATCAATACATGATTTTGAGTTTGTTTGTTTTTTTCATATTCTCCACTTTCCATGAGGCTCTTGAAGCACCCTCCTACAAAATTCATACAGCAAATTCTTTGGAGCTTCCAGTCTAATTGGGGTGACATCATAAAATTGCAAAAGCAAGTTCAGTTTCTAAAGTTCCCAATGGTGGCAAGTGCTATTTTGAGCAAATTCTACTGCTGTGAAAGAGAATTAAAGGGGACAGGAATTTATGGTGGCCACAGAGAGACTCTGGGAAAGTTGTCATTAAGCTGAAAACTAAAACAGCATAAAGAGCCAGCCACACAAAGAGTGAGCCGAGGAAAGTTCTCTCAGGCCAGTGGAAGAACACGGGCAAAAGCCTCATGGTCAGGAAGGAGACAGTGATGGAGTGAGGGGAGCTGCACAGAATGCAGAGTCCGTGCTAGCCCAGGAAGGACACTGTGAGAGCCCTGAAAAGGAACACAGAAGTTTTCCTCTAGTTATAACAGAATATAAATAGCTTTTAAACTGGGAAGTTAATTGATACAGCAAAAATAAACATGGTTTCTAAGTGGAAAATGGATTGTAGTTGAGCAAGAACAGAAGCAAGAAAGCTGGTTGGAAGGCAACCAGGTCAAGACATTTCAGAACCCCCTTAGGGTAGGGGGTAATGGAATAAAAAGAAAAGGGACAAGTGTGAGGGATGCATCAGAGGTAGATTTAGCTGGATGTTCTAATAGGTTAGATAGAAGAATGAGGAAAAATGAGCTCCAGTCCAGAGGCACCGAATCTGCCAGTCCTTCCTTGTCCGGGGTGTCATCCAGCTAGGGTAGTCCTACCCCTGTCCTTGCTATTATTGGAATTTGTACCTGTGGAACTGAGTCAGAACCTAACCAGTCTCCATAAGGGTAGGCATGGGGTACATCCTTTGGAGGGCCATTCATTCATTCCACAGTAGGTAGTATTGTGGACTTAAGAAACATGCAGGCAGAGGAACAGAGAGCTGACTGCCACAGAATATGAGGAGCAGACTCCTGTCACTTGTGAAGCCATACATTTTAGAAATAGAATAAGAACTATGGGTAGGCTAAAACAAAATTCAAGAATCCAGGAGAAGCTGCAAGCCCTGTCATGTATGCAACTTTCAAATGCTTCTGGGAGTGGGAGGAGTATGGCTAGACAGGGTACACACATAACTGAAAACCCCAATAGGGCAGAAGGCATGCAAGAGGGTACGTGTGTGTTCCCAAAACTGTTCATGCAAATTTTCTGCTTGGATTTATTTTCAAAGATAAAAGCATGCCTGTTTTCATAGTTTCTTGGTCCCTGGTGGTCTTATCTGAATAACAGTGCTGACTATAACAAGATAGGGCAGGGATTATTTCTGTCTCCAGCTAGTGATCAAAGACATCAGGACTCAGCAGCAAGTGGATAGGGTCCCCATCACCTGCAGTGACTGCCCCCAGGAAACCTCCCCAGATGAGGCACAGCTCAGGATCCAACATCAGAAGACACTAGAGCCCAGGTGGAGCCCAAACCAGTAAGAACCAGAGAGCAGAACAAGCCCTAAACCCCTCCCCTTCAGCACCATGGCTGGACACAAGCATCCCACCAGGAGCTGCCCATCTAAGGAAGGATGAGGACATTGGAGACCCCACAGCAGAGCTAAAACAGCACGTCAGGCAAACTCCCACTTGGGATTGGCTTAGCATTTACATGAAGCAACTAGAGTACTCCAAAAGAGATCATGGGGCCGTGAAGTGGCACTTTTAAGGATGTTACTCCCCCAAGTCCAAAAACAACCAGTATGAGTTGAAATGAACTGTAAAACTCAGAGAAATGTGCTTTTCTGCACAGTACAGTTGTAAATTTTGACTGTGGCAGGTAAACAACTCTCCATTGACTATGCAGCTGATTAAAAAATGAATGGGGCCCATTGCGGCAGCTGAGTGGCTGAAGTTCTCGTCTTGCATGCGCCAGGATCCTATATGGTTGCCCATTCATGTCCCAGTGGTCTAACTTCCCATCCAGCTCCCTGCTTGTGTCCTGCAAAAAAACTAAAGAGCAGCTGAAAGCCTCAGGACACTACACCCATATGGGAGACCCTGAAAAAGCTCCTGGCTTCAGATCAGCTCATCTCAGCTCCAGCCACTGCGGCTCTTAGGGAGTGAATCAGCAGACAGATCTTTCTGTCTGTCTCCTTTTCTGTAAACCTGACTTTCCAATGAAAAAAAAATTAACCTTAAATAGAAAAGAAAGATAAATGTGTGTGTGTGTGTGTAGGTGCAAGCACATACAAAAAAATACCAAAATGTTCATAGGGACGAGATGGACAATCTTCAACCTTACAGTTTTATTTATTAGATGCATTTAGAGAAGAACCTTCATGGTACTTTTATAATTAGTCAGAGCTAAATCAAGAGATATTTTCCATTACAGGAAAAAGAAGAAACTGCATCAGAGAACAAGTCAGAATGTCACACACTACTCTGACACAAGCCTTCTCTACTCAGAGTGGACTTCTTTGCTGTCCCAGTCACGTCGGTAGTGGAGCAGTGCTATGGCAGGAGAAACACCTCACTGATGGAATCTCATACATTTGTCTGACTTCTTTAAGTACAAACCCAAAGTCTGCAATTTTATTTGCAGTGATTCCTTAACCTGGCTGCCCTGGCTCACTCTTTCTTCATCTCACAAGGAAAACTCTCTCTGTCTCTTCCATTCTGCCTTTCAAATAAATATATAAATCTCTTTCTTAAAAAGATTTTTTAAAATTTGTATTGCAAAGGCAGACATACAGAGAGAAGGAGATACAGAGAGAAAGATCTTCTATCTGTTGATTCACTCCCCAAGTGGCCACAACGGCCAGAGCTGAGCCAATCTGAAGCCAGGAGCCAGGAGCTTCTTCCAGGTCCCCCACGTGGGTACAGAGTCCCAAGGCTTTGGCCGTCTTCTGCTGCTGTAAGGGAAGTGGAGCAGCTGGAATACAAACCAGTGCTCATATGGGATCCCAGTGGATGCAAGGTGAGAACTTTAGCCACTAAGCTATCGTGCGAGGCCCAATAGATGAATCTTTTCAAAAAAGAAAAGAAACTTCAACTGTCTTTAAGGAAAAAAACATTTTCTCCCAATCGTCAGATTTGCATCTGACCATCCTGTTTGTAAATATGCACTGATGATTGGATTATGGAAAAGTTGCTGCAGAAATGGAGCTGAGGGACCAAGGATCACAATACAGTATAGAAAATTCTGTCCCCAAACCAAAGATTCTCACAGCACACACACACACATTTCATTCCCAAATCTCTACATTTGACATGTAAGGCAAATGAACTGACAACAACACTTTTTGGAAAAGATAACTTGCATTCCTCTTACTCGTCTTGAATCTGAACACGGGTTGTGTTTAATTCATAGTCCAGTTGATAATCTCGATCCCGAGGACCCGAGTCTTTATGCCTCTCCCTATCGAATGTGTCCTGGAAGCACATATCAAGACATAGTCTGGGTTTAGGAAAAGACTTGGCTGAATTCCCAAAACATCAAAACATGCTAAGCAAACACCAGGTATAAAATAGCACATAGTGTATTACAATTACAACCAGTGTAATGCAGATGATGTTATTTTTGATTACATAAATCACAACAGGGGTTGCTCTGGGGAGTGGCATGAGGAATGCTCTGAAGTGATTGGAATGTTTTATATGTCAATGGCGGTATGAATTACATGACTACATGCAGCTGTCAAAATCTGCCAACTTGTGAATTTCATGCTACCTAAGGGTACTTCCAAAAAGTTCATGGGAAAAGAACTTGAAAGGTAAGTTTACATGGGACAGACATTTAGAATAGTGTTTCAGATGCCAGTTAAAATATCCACATTTCACACTAGAATATTTGGGTTGACACCAACTCTAGCTCCTAACTCCAGTTTCTGGCTAATGTTCACTCGGAGGCAACTGTGATGGCTCAAGTATATGGGCTACTGCCATTCATTTGGAGCACCTGGATTGAATTCCAGGCTCCAAACTTCAATCTGGCCCAGGCCTAGCCATTGTGAACATTGTGAAGTAAACCAGCAAATAGTTCACCAGCTGTCAATCTCTCTCCCTCTCTTTGCTTTTCAAATAACTTTTTTTTAAAAATTGATGAGGAGTCATCAAAAAGCTCATGAAAATGCAAATTATGAAAAACTTACACATGGACTTCAAATATTTTGCAGCAAAATAAACTTATCTCTTAATTTTATTTTCCACAAACTTTTACTAGTATGCTGGAATAATTCCTCATTGGAAAACATTGATTCGTGACTACTGGTCTATGGAGTGCTGACTTTCCACGTGTGAAGCCCTATTCACATTGTTTCTCAGACTTACCACTCCTAATATTCCCAGTGACTTTAGGAGATTAGCAAAATCATTGTGTCCATCCAGTGAATAAGGCAACTGAGACATAGAAGGTTAGATACATTCCCAGGGTCACAGAAGAGAGAGTGGCGTTCCGCCCTGTGACCCCCCCAGCAGGAGTCCTCCAGCCACTGCTTCCTAAGGCCCTCTTACTTAGAACTGTCCACTCTAAAAGCCTTCCTTTTAAGAAGGAATGTATGCAGATGCATATTAACATGTGTAATTACAGATACGCATGGTTTTGTTCATAGTAACACTGATACCTTTAAGCAAGGTTTGTGTTTTCTTCTTAGTTTGATCTTCAGCTGTTGGAAAACTCACTCTCTCCACGGACACCATCAGTGTTGATTGTGAAATATGATCCTATACTTCAGTCTACAGGAACTAAGCTTTCTTCCCATTTAGGAAGTTTCAATGAGTTTTATTTCTCTGTTTCAGAGAATCTGGAGTTAGCTTTGTGCACCCTTACCTGTAGAGAGGGCACCTTGCTGTCAACAGGTTTCCCCATGGAAGCAGCAGTGAAGGAAGCCTCCAGCCAAGGCAGAAGGCGGGACTTGATGGTTTCCACACCCTCATTATGTCCTCCTGGAACAGTACACACATCAAGTCAGCAAGGGAAGTTCAGCCTCACCCACTCTGGCAGAGGACACACACACACAAAGAGAAAGGAAGGGAGAACTATATGGAAACCATGGCCATTCTCACCTTCTTGGGCTGCTGTAGTAAGTATCCCAAAGAGTTGTCCCTGGACTTTGGCCACTTGTTCTATGAGCTCAAGGCAGAGGTTTAGATTCTGATCACATGAGTTGTTCTGTGAAGCCAAAATACAAACTATTAGTACAATCCTTCACCTGCGAAGAAGACAACAGCCTTGCTTGACTCAAGGCAGGTCTGGATCAGGTAGGTTACAAGCACAGTGACTACTGTGTGGTCAGCCAAAACCCGTGTCCCTTTGGCCCTGAACACATTCATTATCCCTGGCAGGTAGTTTGGCCATGTAACTGAGTTACAGTGAATGGGTCGGGAAGTGATGTGGCAGCATGACCATGACTGATGAAGAAGAAAGCCTCTTGGGTGATTCTCTTTCTCTCTCATCTTCTGCCACCACAATGTAGAGGACCCAGGGAACACGAGGGAGCCACAGCTTTCTAAGGTTGCCGAATGGACACTTGCATGCAACTTGTTTTTAAATAAAAAAATCTGGTTTGTGTGTGGTGAGCCGCCATTTCTTATAGTGATAGTGATACTCAATGGAATTTTGCAAAAATCCTTCTATAAACAGACTCTAGTAACACAATGAAATTTGTTGCCTAATTTATCTGCTTTATTCTTGTCCTCCAATCATATTTACTTTTTATATTGTATGTGAAAAGAGAACACTATTCCTTAAAAAAAAAAAAAGATTTACTTATTCATTTGAAAGGCAGAGCATCAGAGAGAAGGGCAAAGACAGACTGATCTTCCAGCCACAGATAGGTTTACTCCACAGGTACCTACAACATCCAAGGGCTGCACGGTGAGGATCCAAAACTTGGGCCATCACCTGCTGCCTTTCTGAGTACAATCGTAGAAAACTGAGTCTGAAACAGAGGATCTGGGACTTGAACCAGGAAACAGAAAACCATGCATCACAATGAATGAGTTATTAACAAAGCTCAATGACTCAACTGGCGAATTCCCTGCCTGCAAGTGCCAACATCCCATGTGGGTGTTGACTTATGTCCCCACTGCTCCACGTCCCATCCACTCCCTGCTTATGGCTGGTAAAGTAGTGGAGGATGCCCAAAGCCTTGGGACGCTGCACCCACAGCTCCCATCTTCAGACACACTCAGCTCCAGCTATTGTGGCTAACTGGGGAGTGAATCAGTGGATGGAAGCTCTTTCTCTCTCTCTCTCTCTCTCTCCTTTTCTCCATGAATCTGCCTTTCCAATAAAAATAAATAAATCTAAAAAAAAAAGTTATTCACATAACTTTTATTTAAATGTATAAGGGCTATCTATGCTATATGGCAAAGTAAAAGACATTGACTCCCATGGGTAAGTTTTAGAAGTATTGTCCTCAGGCTTGTGTGAGAATCACTCAGGTGGATGATACAAGCCACACAATTGATCCTTTAAACAGATTATCAATATTGGATTGAAGATGAGTGTGAACTAAGGCAGGAAAATCAAGATATACCATATCATAGGTATAGAATTTAAAACAAACTTCAAACATATACAGTAGCTTCACACAGATTGGAAAGTGAAAGGTAACAATAAAAAGGAATAAAATACTCAAGAATATTGTCACCAGCATTATTAGCATAAAAAACATATGTTCTTTTTTTTCTAAAAGATTTTATTTTTATTGGAAAGGCGGATATACAGAGAAGAGAATCCTCCGTCCGATGGTTCACTCCTCAAGTGAGCACAACGGCCGGCAGGGCCTGAACATATGCTCTTTCAAAGTTGCTAATCCACATGCAGCAGGCGTGGGCTACTATTCCTGACTACGAAAGTCAGGGCGGAAGAAATACTGAGTTTTGTTAGGCACCAAATTCTCTGGCCTGAATGAAGCTATTGTGTCTGTGAGGTTTTCTTATGCTACTACAGATATTTTTGCAACTAAGTTCTCTTGACTCCTGCCCTAACGCATCCTAGAAGCTGGCTCTCCTAACTATGTAAGAAACAAAGGGTGCTTGAATAAGATCAATGAGAGCAGGAGGGAGGAGGGAGGGGCTACCTTGAGAGCTTCTGTAGGCATAGAATCCTTGGGGCTCAATGAGCACATTTGTGAGGCCTGATGAAGGGAAGAACTACATTTTCAGAGGAACCCATAGATGGGAATGTGATGCCATTACCCAACCTGAGGCCACAAGAGGAAGACCAGCAACACAGAAGCCAGCTGGTTCTGCTTGGTTTGCATGGGTTAGTGGTCCCTCAGCAGCATCCACATGGACCCGTCCAAGGTCATCAGGTCAGGAGCTCTGGAACCAGATCTGGGTGTCACCAGGATTGGAAAGGTGGCTGAAGACACAAAACCTGATATGTCCATTGCTGAAGAAATATCAAGAGGATAAGGACTGAGGAAAATTTGGATTTGGCTGACCATGGGGAGGCCTCTAGTGCCCACTCTGGGATCACTGAGAGCAGAAAGTTGTGGGGAGAGGGGGGTTCCACATTTCTCCATACTGCACTGGGTTGGAGGAGCAAATGGGAGTAGAAGAGGCAAGAAAGACAGATTACTTTTTCAGGAAGTTTCATAGTTTGGGGAAAGGAACATAACAACAGCTTTGTCCCTAAAACTGGCCCCCTATTCTGCACCATGGTTGACTTTACTGTAACAACTTACCTCAACAACAAAAATTTCAAATCAAAATACCAAATTTTAGATATAAAAAAAGACTATGTACATTCTCAACAGCTCAGCCAAGTTGCTCTTCAGGTTTCTCAGGTAGAACTTTTGGTGTCATAACCCATAGTTAATATTCTTATTTTATTTCTTTCACTATGTACCCTCCTTAAACAGTGACAGTACTGACATTAACAAGCTTTTCCAAGTGGAAAATAAAGACAAATTAAAAAGCTAACAGTGCCCCTCTTAAAAACAAAATACTCTGCTTTGAATCTTTGGCAGCCACAACTTCGTCATTAGTAACTGGCAGAAAGGAAAAGATAATTGTAAATGTTCAATACACTCTTACCCACACTCTCGGCTCCCTTGCAATTAGGTTGGAGCCAAGAGAAGCTGGTGGAAGTGAATGTTGTGTGCAATTTAAGGGTAATGCAAGTTCTTGACTCTTTCTTCCCTGCTAATCCTCAAGGTCATGTGGCAACATGAAGGCCAAAGACAGTGAGCAACTGCCACCAAGGAGGAGCAGTGCTACCAGACTTTTCCTGGAGGAGAAAAAAAAAGGGGAGGGGGGCTCTACAGAGACACTGACATTTGAGGTTTTAATCATTCCCCTATCTTGGTCTGGCTAGCTCAGAGATAAAGGTCCTAAAAGGAAGGAAACATGTCCTCTGTAGGCTTACTATCCGGATTGAATGCTCAAAAACATAAAAGCGTGTTAACTAAGCAGCAGGGGTGAGGGTGGGCCAAGAGTCTGTTTGAACACACCATGGCAACATATCAGCCTTAACAACCTTCTGTACTGGAAACCAGGCATGTTCTGGCAAAGAGGAAGCTTCTATTCCAACCACAAAGATGTTTCAAAAGCAAACAGGACGCCTCCTTCAGATCTCCCTTCTGTACAGAGATCCTGAATGCACTCAGCACAAGTTTCAGAAATACACCAGAGAATTGTGTATTGTCAGAGAATGTCTTACATTACCACCTTCTTACCATTGCTACTCACAGACTGAATAACAAAAGCTTCTGGGATAGAACGTGCTGGTGTCTGTTATTTATGAAATGTAATCTTCTACCTTGGCAATGGGGTTATCAAGGATATAGTACGATTTCACCCCTTACTACTATAATCATATAGAATACCTACATTTTTAGAATAAAAAATCTCAGAGCATCTCATCCAGGTTAATTCCCTCATCTACAGGACCCTGGGGAGAAACAAAATGACCTCCTTTGGGATCTGCTTATATTGTCAGGTTAATTTCTCTTCTCAAATGAACATCTCTCTAAGGTGTACTTGCATAACCAGAAATCAGTTCTGTATAGAAGGTTATTTGAGCCTCTTGCACAATTGATCAATAAAATCATACAGACATTGTACTAGAAGTTCGGGCATTTGGGACAACATACACTTATGTGAACCTTAATGACCATTCTGAGTCTTTGCTCTTTTTTTTTTTTTTTTTTTTTTTTAGTCTTTGCTCTTATTCACTAAATGAACAGCTACATTACGAGAGGTTGCTTCATGTAATCTCTTTCCTAACATGCTTCTTGTCCCTACAGATCCCAATTTCCCCACTAACCACAGCACACGCACATACACAAGCACATCAGAAGTGATGGGAAAAATATCTGTCAAAAATTACTGAACAATGCACACCATGACGCTTGTAAGTGGCCTTTAACCTACCAGGTAGATGCTCAGTCACTACACTGATTCTGCATTCTTTTAATGACTGAAACAAAATGAACGGGCAATGTTTGCTGTTGTTCTTAGCATGTGTTTCTTGGGGCAGGCTCAAAAAATAGTCTTCCTTGGAAGTTCTTAAAAGTGATTTGGCCAGAAGCAGTCCTTTCTAGGACCTGGAAGGCTGTTGTTTGTTGTTTAAGATTGAAAACCAGCCAACAGAGGTGAGCATTTAGCCTAGAGGTTACAAGCCAGTAAAGATGCCTGCATCCCACTTTGGAGCACTGGGTTGGATTCCCAACCCAGACTCCAGACTCCAGCTTGAGGTTGGTGTGTGGCGTGGGAGAACAGAGTCCCCATCAGCTATGTGAGACAGAGTCCCCATCACCTATGTAAGAAACCTGAATTGTGTGCTGGCTCCAGGATCTGCCTTTGCCCAGCCCTGGCTGTTGCTGCCATTTAGAAAGAACTAGCAAATGAAAGTGCCTTCTTTCTCCATCTCTCAAATTATATACATATATAACACAAATATGTATATATAAGCCAGCAAGTAAACAAAAAAGGCTTTGGGATAAGCAATTACAGTATTCAAGAATTTACTGTCTCTAATATATTGGTGCATATGATGACCTATTCCAAAAACCCTGTGTTAAACATAAGAAATTGAAGATAGTAATAAACACTATAATTTAATGTCTTCTCCATATTTCCAAAGTACTTATGCACTGTGACCATAACATCTCAGATTCAAGTGTGGACTGAACAAAACTAGTACTCATTTATTTTTCCTTCTTCACAATTTCACAGGTGACTCATTAGTACCACAAATCTTGGCAATCTCGGCATTTTTCCTTATTAAGTTGATAACATCCAGCTTTTCATTTAAAGGAAGTAGTTGATAGTTTCTCTTTGGCATATATAAATGGCCAGTCTCACTACTCTCTGGGACCATGATTAAGTAAAATTAGGGATAGTCGAACATTCAAGCACTGCAATAGCATGACAGCTGTCTGACTATCAAGACTGCTCGTACGTGACTCTAAGCAGGCAGTGCCCCAGCACAGATACACCGCACAAAGGGATGAGTCACAGACAACGTAGAACGACATGAGATTTCATCATGCTCTGCAGAACACTGCACAAGTTAAAAAGTATAAATTGGGCCCTGGTGTGATAGCCTAGCCACTAAAGTCCTCTCCTTGCACATGCCGGGATCCCATATGGGTGCTGGTTCTAATCCTGGAGGCCCCGCTTCCCATCCAGCTCCTTGCTTGTGGCCTGGGAAAGCAGTCGAGGACGACCCAAAGCCTTGGGACCCTGCACCTGCATGGGAGACCCAGAAGAAGCTTCTGGCTCCTGGCTTTGGATCAGCTCAGCTTCAGCCATTGCAGCCACTTCGGGAGTGGATCATCAGATGGAAGATCTTCTCCTCCTCTCTGTATATCTGCCATTCCAATAAAAATAAATACATAGTTTTTTAAAAGTATGAACTGCTTATTTCTGGAATTTTCCATTTTTACTTGCAGCATAGGTAACCAAATCTGTTGAATGCAAAACTGTGGTTAATACACAACTACTGTCTAGAATACAATGAAGCAGACCCTATAGCACAGATAAAGACAACAGAGGGGTGTGATGGCAGAATTAAGGCAGAGGTGATGGGAATGGATAAGGAGATTACATGAGCGAGACACAGAAGAAAACTAAGGTTTGAGTGCTAATCCCATATAGCTAATAGGAAGAAAAAATTTATGTCTTAGAATTAATCTAAGTATTTCTCTTCCTTGCAAATAACTTCTTCCCAGGGGGAAGACTGTACTCACATTCCTAACTCTATAGGAACACTATGGCGTTTTCATTTGCTCAAGTTAATTAGAACTAAACCAATGTTGTCACAGAAAAACCAACTTTCCACAGCAAGCATAATTTGTTTTAAATAAGCAAATATGTTCCCTACAGCCAACATTTTAACAAATATTTGCCATAGCGAATATTCTTCATCTATGGTTTCAAGTCCCTGAAACTAAGTTTTTTGAAGTGTTCTGAGAGAGCATTTAGCAATTGATCAGAATTTAAACTAGGCATCACCAGCTTAAGATTCAGGGGAAGTTTGGATGTGCAACTTAGATTTTATGTTAAGAGATTGATAATTACTATCTCATCCTCTCTTTAACTACACAAATAATCTCTGCTAAAAGCACTTCCATCGTTGCACAAATACCCCAAAATGGAACCTGTGGCTTCAAGTTCCAGTGCAATTTTTAAATTATTTTTTACAAATCCATTCATTTTTATTTTATTTGAAATGCAGAGAGGAAAGGAAAGAGACAGAGGACAACCAGGGAGAGAAGGAGAGGGGGGAATTTTCCACCCACTGACTCTCCAAATCTGTAGATGCCGTCAATATTTAGGGTTGGTTCAGACTGAACACAGGAACCATGAGCTCAATCTGGGTCTCCCATGTGGGTGACAGGCATCCCACCATCTGAATCTATTTTTCTATGAGCCTTTATCTACCTCCTTCCAAGGTGCGCACTAGCAGGAAGCTGAATCGGAAACAGAGGAGCTGGGACGCACACCAAGCACTCCAACATGGGGGAGGGTGTCTCAGCCACTGTACTAGATACCCACTACTCAAAGCAATTTTCATAAAGACTGAGTTATGGGTCCTGAGTGAATCCTTTTAACTCTACACTGGATATGAAATTTTTTTTAAGAAGAATTAGTCAAAGAAACTGTGTGGCTTAACTCATTGTTAAGTAGTTGTTGATCATCTACCACTGTCAACTACTGTTCTATAGCACTGAGTAGCACAAGGCAGAAATTTCTGTCCTCTTCAGTTCACATTCCAGTGGAGGGAGTAGGGATTCTGATGAGAAAACAAATTACTGAATAAGTAAAAATTAATAGGTATAAGCATTGGGGCTGGTGTGTTGTAGCAGGTAAAACTCCCACCTGCAATATTGGTGTCCCAAATGGGTACTAATTTGAGTCCTACCTTATTTATACCTGATCCAGCTCCCCGCTAATGGCCTGGGAAAAGCAGCAGGTGACCCAAGTGTTTGGGCCTCTGTTACCCATGACAGAGATCTGAATAAAACTCCTGGATCCCACCTTTGGCATGGCCCAGCCCTGGCTGTTGTGGACATCTGGGGAGTGAACCAGTGGATGAAAGATATCTCTCTCTCTCTCTCTCTCTCTCTCTTTCTCTGTCTCTTTCTGAAAAAAAAAAAAAGTATTTTTTCAAAAAGATTTAGGTATTCTGGAAGAAGGAAAAGGAAACAGTGCATGTCCAGGTATGAGGCTGGGAGACTGTAATTATAAACAGGATGTGCAGGTGGACACCTCTTGGAAGATGACATTTACTTAAAGGCTTAACGGAGGTAAGAAAGCCATGGAGATAACATAATCAATTAAAAGCTTTTAACACAGACTAGCTAAGAGCAAAATGCCCTGAAACAGGAACACGGCTAGCTGGAACTGTGCTGGCCCAAACGGTGGCCACTAACTACACACGGTTCTTTGGGTTCAAATTGAACTGAAGTGAAACTAAAAACTCAGGTCCTCAGTGTGTACTCACCACATCTCAAGCGTCTAACAGGCCCCATCCTGGAACATGCAGGTGCAGAACATTCCCAAACCCAAGAAAAGCTCTGTGGGCAATACTCTCCAGGAACAGCCAGCAGACTAGGCAATGAGATCAGAGGTGATAAAGAGATACAGCCATGCATGACTCTGAAGATACGTGGGGAATCTTTGCCTTTCATGCTGAAACATTGGTCGAAGGTTGAAGGACTCACCTGAGGAGTAAGTTGATCTGATCTGACATGGAGACAACCCTCTCTGAGTTACTATTTTTGTAATAATCTAGACAAAATATGATTGAACAGGGACCTAGTAGTGGAAGTGGTGAAACTTTCCAGCTTCTGTATGGATTTTGAGGTTGGAACAGACATTTGCTGGTGGAAAGGATGCAGAATATGTCACAATGAAGAAAGTCAAATTGGGAAGGCGGTTTGTGTTTGGAGCCTGGGAAAGGCTACACTCGCTTGGACAATGACTGGCTTTTGACTTGATAACAGCACTCCGTACTGAGATTGTCCCATGGGCAATCCGGGAAGTGAAAGCTGGGATGAGAACTGTCTGCAGACAGATGCACTTTATCTGCATCGTGTATGAGGAAGCCTCCTATGTGACAGGGATGACAAAAGCCCCAGAAAAGTGGTGGAGACTGGAAAATGACCGCTAAGTCTGTGGCTGCGCGTGGGCATTCTCCATCTCTGCCAAGCAGTGGTACAAGCTGAAGCCACCGGGAAAGGGTCTCAACAAGAACAGGGCGATGAGAGGTCACCAATATGGGAAACTGGTCAAGTAGGTCCTTGTCCAGTACTTAGGAAGTTTCCAAACAATCACTTATTTTGTTCCAATCAAGTTCTAGTGTCATTTGTGTCAAAGCGACAAACAACATACTCTGTGAAATGCAGGATTTTGTTAGGCCACAGGTCAATACAAACAGGAATACAGATGTATGAGCATGTGTTCTTCTCAACACCCCGAAACCATGTAGAGCAAGTGGGGACTTCAAGTAGTGAGGGGAACTTAATCTTCTGTGATAGAGGTCATGGTTAACCTCACTGAATTATTCTCTTTGGAAATGTTCTTTAGAGGAGACAAAGTGAGGAAATGCCAGACACCAGTAAGGAAGGCTTAGAAGAAAACGGTCACTTGAGAGGGAGACCAGGAAAGTTCCAGCGGGTTCCTGGCAGCTAACAGCCAGAAACATACCCAGGCTCCAAAAACGTGAAGCCTGGAAAGAAACATCCCCCAGTGCAATCGCTGCCATCTCTCAGAAGAGGCTCTGAGACTCAAGGAGGGCAAACAGATCGCCCAGATTGTTCTATAATTGCTCTGGGCAGAACCAGACCCTGACATCCAGTTCACGCCTGTCAGGCCTACACCTGGGTCCAGCAGACCAGAGGTCAGAATTCACACCAATACTTTGGTGGGTGTGAGGGTCGTGGATTAATAAGACTCTCGGAGTGCTCTGAGATCACTGGCTCCTTACATATGTCCTGGCAACTGGATTTCTTCCATTTGCCTTGCTGTTGAAAATGTGCCGTGGGACCAGCACGAAACCGACCAAGTTAACATGCATTTAACTCACTGCTGGGTACCACTGCCTGGGTGTAGGTTTATAATATACCTATTCTAAGATGACCCCTGCACGGCCTTGGAGTGAAAGACTTGCAGAAAGGCTGGTGTTGAGTTCAACTAGTGTGTGGAGAACGACGAGAGCGAGGGGTGTGTGTTAGGCTCTGGTGGAGGGAGCAGCCAGACTGGTTGCAAATCGCCCACTTTCCCGTTGCTAGGGCCGACCGCGTCCTTGGTTACGGTGCAGCTTCCCTATCTGTAAGTACCTAGTGCTGTAAGCAATCACGCGCACCGGGTGTTTGCAAAGCGGCCGCCCGACGCAAACCTCTTTCCTCCCTTAAGAACTCCTCAGGCCAGAGTTATGCAGGGAACCACGCCTGGCGAGCCGCGGTGGCCTCCCGCCCCGACTCACGTTGTATTCCTTCATCCAGGACTCCAACTTTCCCTGCAACACCCGTAAAGATTCGTTGGAGACCAGCCTCCGCAGGTTTTCCGCCATTGCTCGCTTTTTGGCTCAGCCCGGCTCTGGAGATGGAGACCCGGAGGGGACGGGGCGGAGGGCTTCCTCAGGGCAGCGGGGTGGAAAAGCGGAGAGCCGGGGATCTTCCGGAGAGGCTCAGAGCGCCGCCGCGGGGTCCATCCTCCCCCTCGGGTGGGACCGGGCAGGGTTCGGGAAGCCGGGGGGAGGTGCCCTGGGCCGCAGCCGCAGCGCCTCATCCGCCGCCCGGCGCGGTCTCCTGGCTGCCCCGCCGCCGCCGCCCCCGGACCCGGCCATAAATACCCTCCCCGCCCTCCCTCACTCGGCGATTATTAAACAAACCTTGACGTGGGCGGGCCGGCTGCCGGGGACGCGCGCTGCCCCGCGTTGGGGCAACGCTCGGGCACCCCGCCCCCGCCGCGCCCTCCTCAGGCCCGCAGGCCCGGGGGTCGGGCCCCGCCAGGGCAGGGCCATGTCGCTGCTGCTGCTGCTGCTCCTTTTTATCCTCCTCCTCGTGCTGGTGTTGCTGATGGCCGAAGGCGAGGGCGCCCGAGCCACCGGGACTGGGGACTGGACCGCCAGCTTTCGGGCGCCGAGACCCCGGCTGGCGGCGGTGGCGAGATCGGCGGAGGGGCCTCGGCGGGCCGCGGCGCGGGCTGGGGGGCAGCCGGAGGCGTGTGGACCCGAGGCAACGCTAACTCCCTCAGGCGTCTTCGGTGAGCGTGCTGGGAAGCACTCTTGTTTGGGCCTTGCACTTCCGTGACCCTTCCTGGGTGATACCTGGGATCCTCTTGGGTGAAGTGTGCTGTAATTCAAGTTTCAACTCCTCCCCACTTGTATCTTTGGCTTTTTTTCCTTGACCTCCCTGGGTGGGTGTGCAGGACAGTAGCCTCCAGCTGCAGCCTGTTCACGAGGTTTCGTGTGCGGGTTTGGGTAAGTGGCCGGGCGTATTTGCGGGTAGTTTCGACTGCCAGGATGCCCTGGACGGCGTCATTGCGTTCTGCATTCTCTGGCTGGGACTTTGTCACAGTTCACACCTCCCCGTGGGGTGCTGTTAAGAAGAGTGCCCTGCGACTGCAGGCGCCAGTTAGAGCTGCCCCATGCTTCAGCCGTCATCTGACACAGAAGTAAGCCTTGTTCTATCTCTTGCCAAGTTATGCCCTGCCCATTGAAGCGATGGGCGTGTCGCAGAGCTTTCTGTCCCGCGAAGCTAAGTCTGGCCTGTTTCTTCCGGCATTTGACATTATATGAACCTTGCGTATTTCTGAGTAACAAAATTTAGTTTTCACCATGTGTTGTCCTAATGTCGTTTGAGGACAGGGATGGCACTGCCCATGAAGCAAAATGAAAAGAAAAGCTCAATGCTGATGGAATGCTCCCAGACCACAAAGCATGGATCGTATGCAGTAAACGTGTTATTATGATACAGTAATTGATAAATTGAAGTATTAAACAGTCGTTGAACTTTGTCTATTAGTATACAATATTTCCTGGGCGTATTTACATAATAAGGATGAAAGGGAAAGGAGAACAGTTCAGATTTCTTCATGTGGGATCAACAATTACATGTTAGTACAGGTCACTGGAACCCTTGAACAGTCCTGTTTACATATTCATGAAACCCAAACTGTGGCACATTAGAGCTTTTGTAAAACAAAGAGTAAATCCTCTTATTTGATGTTGTGGGCAACCTAACTGGCTGTTTTTTTGTTTTTTGTTTTTTGTTTTTTTTGGTTTTTTTATGATGTTCATAGAGTTGGTGAAGGTGGGAAGGATTGAGAATTGGGGGAGAATGAGTGAGATCATTGTTTCCAAACTCTCCTTCCTCTTCCTGCATATGGGGGAAGGAGGGAGACAAGGGGAGAAGCCACACCCAGCCTCCCAGCCTCCCCAGTATCTGGGGATGGGGAACCATCACCCTATGCCATCCCATGGTCCCTGGTTGTGGAGCACGCTCCGAGGGCTCTGCTCAAGCGGTTTTGGTAGTTCTGAAATGCTGTCGGATCTCCACTCCAAGGATGAAGAAATCCTTCCAAGGCCCATTGGTTGACATAGTCCACCTTAGGGTCTCCATTCGCCCAACTTAATGGGCTTGTAATGCTTGGCTTCATCAATCTGTACAACATGGACAATAGTTTCGTTTTTGTTCTTTTTTTTTAACTCTGTATGATTCTTACGAGACTGAGGTAATTCCTTTGAGGCATTCAGCACAGTATTTGGCACTTACTGTAGTAGGTGATATACGCTGTCGCTATTTTTAGGGCTGTAAATCACAGTATTGTACTTAATGAGGAAAACTGGATTGGAAATTATCTTTATCAACAGTGGGCAATGATTGAGCAAACCTGTCAATGAAATGTTGCTCACTAAATCATCTGTTTTTTGAAGAGCATTGAAAACCTAGGAATTCTCATTATTTGAGGATAAGTGAAAAAGCAGCACACTAATACGTCAAATTATGTAGTGTGTATTACTATTGGTGATTTTATACTTTGATTTTACACACTTCTACTATGAACTTGACTCAAAGTAAACTTGTTCTAAATCTGCAGTGGGTGTGTTCAGTATGAGCTGGGGATGTGACTATAAGGGTTAGTTTGTCTCTAGCAGGCTCTGCCCAAGCCCATGGTAGGCTCCTTTCCCTGCCATGAGGCTGCATCCCATCTAGAGACCACAGCCCATCAAGACCAGTGCAGCCTGGGAGTGGTACTGATCCCAAGCCTGCTGTGGTCTATCTGTTGCTGAGGGGACTCACTGCCAAACACTGACCCCACCAATCACTGGTAATGCCAGCTAGGCTGCTCAACCAGGGCCAAACAACTCCCCTGGACATGGAAACAGGTCCAAGTACACTGGCCTATGACCAAGGACCATCAGAATCTGCTCATTTCTGGTGTTTGTTGGAAGGGCACGAGGTCCCCAGACAGCCCAGTTACTGTCTGCCCACTGTTGTGGGAGGGGTGACAGAGCAGTACTCAGATACCAGGCAGACCCTAGGTTGCTCAATAACAGGTCCCGTGCACACCACATGAGAAGGTGATGCCAATGCATGCCAGAATGAGTACAGCTCTTCACATGACATTGGACAAGTCCAGAGATGGTCCACAGATGCTGGGCTGATTTCTGCGGCCCTTAGGTAGATGGCTTAGTGTGTGTACATATGTAGATTGTGTCTGGGGAGCAGTCAGCAGAGTATCTGGTTCAGCTACCATCTTGCTTCCACTTTTAGTATATCTAACCAAGACGGTGTTGATATGATGGTGCTAGGAGTCAACTGGATGCCAACATGATCACATCAAAGAATAGGCTAAGCAATTGATGCCCCATTTTTGAGCTTTCAGATGATGCTATGTGACATAAGTTTAGACTCTCCATACCTGCAGGAGTAAGTGGATATTCTTATAGGTGCCCTTCATGATAACTGCCTTCCATGAGGTATTTGGTGGGTGCTGAATAGCACTCATTTTTAGAGGAACACCAATCAGTTCACGTCACTGATTCTGGAAGGGTCCATGAGTTTCACATTATAAGCATGCAGTTAACATGGGTCAGATTTGATTCAAAAAGTAAGTTAACTTTTCCGTGGATATGAAAAAAGAAAATACCAGATTTTATTTGGGAAATATTTTGTTGTTCTAAGTTTATCCTACGGACTGTCCACTTAGCATTACATTGGAGAAGCTGAATGGACAGCAAACTTGAACATGGGCACAGCTGCTGTGCCTCACACTCTGCTTCCTATGCAGCCTCCAACATGCACCTTTCTTAATCTGTAAAATGAAAGTCATGGGCGAGATGAGCCTTCCGGCTCTCGCAGTGCTGACAATCTGAACACACCGCTCAGATTCAGGGCTCAGCAAACCGTGTTCTTTGCCACATTTTCACAGTTCATGTTGGGCCCAGCCTTAATTCTGACAGCATTAGCCAATCACCAAAAGTTAAGCTCTTTTCCCAAGTAAAATGAACTCCACTGAAATAATTCCTACTTCTAGCTCCAATAATTACAGGATTTTACTACAGTTGTACTTTTTTATGCATGTAAATCCACTTCAGACTGAGAAACTTGTCCTAACTCCTCTAACCTCTCAGATATCACCTCTGTTCCTCAGGCTTTCTCTCTCTCTGATGCTGTTCCCATCCTCATAAACATATGTATTTGTCTGCCTCTAATAAGCTTCTTAAAGAAAAAGGAAGAAGCTTATTCAGCAGGGCTTATGAGAAAAAAAAAAAAACTGAAGAAAGAGGGGCAGTGAAGAGAAGATGGGAAAAGAAGAAGGAAGACAATGATTGGCTACTTTATAGCTGATATTAAATCCCCATGAGGTAGATGGCAAATGCAACAGATGGTTGGTTGTCCTTGAAGTATTATCATTCTTCGTTAATGCCACGAGACATTTGCTCTAGAGGAGTGTGACAAACACCCAGATAGAATACACTTCCTCATGGTTCTTAATTTTGCCTATTCTGAATTTTGCCAATACTAGTCAACTGGAGATTTTTAATTTGGGATTTTTAAGAAACCAACAAAGACCAAATTGAATTCACTCCATGAAGTTAGTTATGTGTCCACAGTTCACAGCAAGTATAATCAGGAACAATAAGCTGCAAGGACATCCAAGGGGACCCTCATGTTGAGTTCCGGGCCTTCTTCACTGAGGAAAGTTGCAAACTTTCAGCTGGCAAGGCTTTAAGAATAGGCTGTACAGGGCTGGTGCTGTGGCACAGCTAGCTAAACTTCCACCTGCAGTGTCAGCATCCCATATGGTGCTGGCTCGTGTCCCTCCTATTCCACTTCTGATCCAACTCCCTGCTTGTGACCTGTGAAAGCAGCAAGGGATGGCTCAGTCCTTGGGCCCCTGCACCCACATGGGAGCTGTGGAAGAAGCCCCTGGCTTCTGGTTTTCACACAGCCTTTGAGCCCCTTGAGGGCATGACCAGCAGATGGGCGAACACTCTTTTCTATTTTTGTCTCCATCACTCCACCTTTCAAAAAGATGTAAAAGAGGGAAAGGAAGAAAGTACACAGAGACCGATGGCCAGTTAGGTACTGACAGCCAAAATCAGGAAAGAGGGCAGAGAGACTGGGGAGCACTGTGACAGAGGACCTGGTCTGGAGCTTCACAGCAATGTTCTGATACCAGGCAGAGAGCACAGCAAAAGAACTGTTCCAGTCATCGAAAAGCAAAAACCCATCTGATCCTAAAAGCTTTCACTGGCTGGACCCCAATGACTGCCCAGTTAGGGAGTTGGGGGGCTACGGTTCAACTCACGAAGAACACTTCCCACATCTTTTATTATTTAAATTTTTAAACATTTCTTTCATTTATTTTTTATTGGAAAGGCAGATTTACAGATTTATGGTTCACTCCTCACATGGCCACAATAGCCAGAGCTGAGCCGATCCAAAGCCAGAAGCCAGGAGCTTCTTCTGGGTCTCTCACGCAGGTGCAAGGTCTCAAGGCTTTGGACTGTCCTCCACTGCTTTCCCAGGCCACAGGCAGGGAGCTGGATGGGAAGTGGACTAGCCAGGACACAAACGGGTGCCCATATGAAGCTGTACCCATATGGCATGCCGGTTCATGCCAGAATTTAGCCATTAAACCATCGCACAGGCCCATTTTGGTTGCTGTTGGCTCCACTGCATAAAAAATAAGCAACCAAGCAAAATAAACACCTAACAGTATTACTGGATTGCGTGAAAACAGGCAATGGATTTGTGAGCAAGGTGTTTGCCATCTGGATGGTTCCCAGGGTGCAGTTAGTCCCCATTAAGTGGTTTCCCAATGGCACAACTCGTTAACATTATCCCCAATACCAAACGGAGAACTCCACCCTCAACATGGCAGTAAAAAGTAAAGAAGCAGTGCTCAGGTGCCTCGGAATCTTCCCCGGGGACTCCGCATTTTCAAGCTGTCAGCCACCTAGTTAGCTGGCAACTGTTCCCTTGGGTCCACGTTGACACCACCGTGGTCCTCGCCCGCGGGGAGGTTCCACATCATCCCGGACTCACGAAGCCGGGCGGCCGTGGCTGACAGCGCGTGGAGGACGCCCCGGCCGGGGACACTCAGCCCGCCGGGGGATGCCGCGCCGAGGGATGCCGCGCCGAGGGATGCCGCGCCGGGCAGCGCGCTCGGGCTCGCGGTCCCCAGGGCAGCGGCGGGGCGGGTTGTGCGCGCGGCCGTCCGCGCCCCCGCCGTGGCGCAGGCGCACGCTGGCCGGGGGCGGCGGGCACTGCCGGGCGCGGGGCGCGGGAAGATGGCGGCGGCGGCGGCGGCTGCGGCGGCCGAGCAGGTCTGTGAGCCCCGCGGCGCCCGGGCCTGCAGGAGCGGGGAGGTCGGGGGCTGTGGGCCGGGTCCGCGACAGTGCAGACCCCCGGAGAGCCGGGCGTGAGGACCGGCGGGCGGGGCGGGGCGGGGCAGCTGTCCGCCCCGGGGATGCTGGCCAGGGCCGGGCGGGACCCTGAGCGAGGGAGTCCGGGAGCGGGGACCCCGCCGCAGCCCTGAGCCTCCCTGGGTCCCTCGGAGGAGGTGAGAAGTCGTCGCCCCCCGAGGACCCCGGGACCACCATTCCAGCCCAGAGCCTGCGCCGGGACGTGCCTGGCCCGCGCTGCCAGCAAAGATGCAGATAAAAATAACCCTGGCCCCAGCCAAGAACCCTGCAACCTTTGGCTGGGTGTCAGCTGGTGGCCAATTCTGGTCTCTGCAATCCCTGGCTCAGGAATGGCCCGGGATTCCCTCCCCTTTGTGGGTTTTGGGAGTTTGAGTCACCAGTGTAAAATTATCTCCTGTCCAGTAGGTTTCAAGTCACTTTTCAAAAAGCTCTCTGAAGTACTTTCCTGATCTACTTGGTATACTTGTAACTTGGTAGTTTAAAAGACTTCCCAAGATCAAACTAACTTGTGCCTACATTTACAGTGTGTGAGGGTGGGTGGGTGAGAGAGACGGAATATGGGTGCACAATATAAACGTGCAAAGTGGCTTATTATCATAAAAGAAATTCTCATGATTTTCATGGGCTTCTTCACTGTTGCTGACCTTTCAAAGTAACTATGTGTTGATCATTTCTTTTATAGAAGTCTTACTAGTCATCGTTGTTGAAAAATATAATCTAGTTGGCCACATTGCGTGGAGTCTTTGCAGAGATCTTCCCCAGTAGATAATGAGCTGCATTGGAAGCCTTTTAGCTGTCCCCGGAGGATGCAAGTTCTGCCTCAAGGAGCTTAAAGTCAAACTGCAGAAAAATCAGGCAGATGGTAGACAAGATGCAGATGGGGAACAGCAGCCAGCAGAGAACTGGAAAGAGCTAAGGCTGCTGGGAGCTGGGAGATGAAAGTGGGGGCTGGGCAGCCCCAGGAGTGCACTCTCCCGCCATCTACGTCCTACCTGTTGGTCCTCAGGAAGTTCTCTTCTTTCTCAGACATGTAAGCTGGTCCCTTCCTGGTTCACACTTGTGTCCTGAACTGAGTTTTTCATAGGAAGTCTCAGATCCAGGAATATGCTCACCCCTGCCCCCCCGACCAGATCACCGTGAGTATGGTTGGCAGGGCTGCCGCAGGGGAGGGCCTTGGTAAAGCTAGGTGAAAAGCAGAGCTCAGGAGGGACCCACACATGGGGTGCCGCTCTGCTCCGTTGGGCTTGGTGTTTGAACAAGGAGCCTGGCAAGTGCTCTCTGCTGTGGAGCCCACAACTTGTGTGGCTGGGCTTGTCTTCCTGGGCCATGGCTAGGGTGGGGAACCTTTTACATGCCAAGGGCCATGTGGATATTTATAGCATCACTTGCTTGGGCCAAAGGAAATGATCAAGTTCAGGGTCAGCCTGTTGTAGATGTATGGCATCTTGAGGCCTGTTGGGGTGGCCTTGGCGATCTCATGGCCTGTGGACTGGATGTTCCCTAGCCCTGTCCCCAACCCTCCTGTCACACATCCAGACTCCAGGTCCTGTCAATCTCTTTCACTGTGTCTCACCAGTGTCGCCTTCCTTGCCAGTGCTGGTGCTCAGCCAGGCCCTCGTGGGGACTGCTTGAGGGAACTGCACTGGGCATCTCATTCTCTGGGCTCTTCTAGCCCAGCGTGTCTTCTTACTGGGGTGAATTGGATTGTTCCATTAACCCATTTTGGATACTCATTGGTCCCTATCATCTTCCAGGTATAATCTGTCATTTCTTATCATAGTTCTTGTGTCATTTACTGGTCCATAACCACATCTCTCATTTTTTTTTCATCTTCCCTACCAAAATTAGCTCGCCCAGAGATGACTTGTTCTCGAGGCTTCCCAGCTGTTCTGTCCTGAATGCCCCTCTCTGCGCCTTTGCCTGGTTAACAACTGTCTGCCCTCCAAGATTCCTCTCGTACCTCAGCTGTTGCCACGCCTTCCCTGAGTGCTCGGTTCTCTTAAGTGGAGCTGCATTGCACCGCTGCATCTCCTCAGGAACTGCTTGTGCTGGCAGGCTCTGTCCCGGTGACTGCACCTGTCATCTGTCTCCTCCATGAGCCGGGATGTGAGCTTCTTGAAGGAGGCCACACTCAGTGTGCTCCAGACTGCCAAGTTGGACATGCCACAGGCATCCTTCAAATGGATGAGTCCTAGGAGGGCTCCATTTCCCCTTCTCTCCTATATGTGGACTCATTCAAACTGTAGCTAAGATTTGTACGTTGTTCATCTGTTAACTAAGGCTGTCACTTACTGCCACCAGCTGAAACACAAAACTACAGATGCAAATTTAACATCTTCTGGTGTCAGTCCTCCTCTTGGAGGTTGTAGCCTTGTACAGTGTACAACCTACTCATATTCAGCAGCTTGTTTGATTACTAAACCTTATTACCTTACTTATCTTCCTTACTACCTCATGAATTTTAAAAGCCTAATCTGCTGTGTGACAATTCCAGGCTTTTTTTCTGCTGCCCCTGCCACCACATTAAGCCTCCTGTGGCAGACCAGGCATTTCACTGCACAGTTCAGGTGCCAGTGGTCTCACATTCCGGCTTCCTGCTACTGCAGACTCAGTGGGCAGGGGTGGCTCGGGTGATCCATTCCTGCCACCCTGGAGACCAGGATTGCATTCCCAGCTGCTGTGGGCATTTGCAGTCAAGCAGAGGACGGGAGTGCCCTCTTTCACTCGGCCTCTGTCTCTACCTCTTAAGTAAATACTCTAATAGCAGTGCCCTCCTCACTCCCTGTGGTCGGAGCCTGCCTGGTCCAGCCCTGATGCCTCTTGCTGTGAACCATGTCAAGTTTGAATGGAGCAAGCCCTGCCCTTTAAGGCAGTTCTTTTCTGCTTCTTTAAAGATCCTGCCCCACCCCATCCTGTGCAGCGTGGAGCTCTAGGTCTTCACCCCGCTTGGCTGCCCTACCCCTCTCCATCACCGCACAGTTAAGTCTGCCCCCACATTAAGGTGGGGGGAAAACACTAAGACACAGCTTTCCTCTGGCAGCTGATAATTCTTTTGCAGCCTTCTCTCTCCTTTTTTCCTCTGGCCTTGAATGTAGATGTGTATGAGCTGACCCCTTTGGGGACCTGTCTGCTCCCTCTGCAGGGCTTGACTGTGTAAGTGTGGGCCCCTTTGGGGACTTGTCTGTTCCCTCCTCACCCATCTGCTACTCAGAACTGGCATCTGAAGGCTTCACAGGTCCTCAGTCCTTGACAGGTCGCATTCAGCCACGGCATGCATCACTGGTGGCCTTGCCATCCTTTGCTTTCCCACTGTCGGGCCTCCTGTGCATGTCTGCCTCCCAGGGCTGACTCCTTGCCCTCACCCCTCTGTGAGCATCTGCATCCTCAGAGCTTGACTTCATCTCTGGGTCCAGGACCCCTGACTGTCTCGCCAGTCCCAGGTGACCGTCCTCCCGCTGCCTTTGAAGCAGTGGTGTTTCTCCTTCAGCTCATGTGTAACATATGGAGTTGTCTTCTCCCTCATTCCTCAGTAACTAGTCACAATTCAATAAACATGATAATGAATGGGGATTATATCCCATCCTGAAGCATCATTTTTAGTAGCTCTTTTTCCATCTTCTTTCTCTTCACCTCAGCCCTCCATTTGCCACAACGCCCCCAGCACCTATGCATGGCTGTTCTCTCCTTCCCAAGCTCCCACACCTCTAACATCCTGTATCTTACCCGCCAAGACCAATTCTCCCAGCAGAGCTGGATCACACTCCCTTCCGCCCATTTTCCTGATGACTCCAGGTTATCCTCTCTCCTTTGAACTTGGCAGCATGGATTCGCTGTGCTAAACACCAGGACAAACGGAGTACTTCTCACTGCATTGTTAACTCTTGACATCAACAGATCCCGTCTTGTAATGCCCAGAAGACAAGGATCCTGCCTTATACGTGTTACATACTCCTGTTTATAGTACTAGTGTTTTGGCATAAATGCTTAATATGAGTTTCTTCAGTAAGCAAGTTTTCTCAGAACTCTAAACATTTTATAAGTTGGACGTTAAATATTTTTGTTTATTCCTTTTTGTGTGTGAGAGTGATATATGAGATTACTACCTAAACTGTTTTAACTATAGTCCAGGTAAGAGGTCCTAACATTTTTCCAAAATTTTTCATTTGAAATTCAGAGTTACAGAGAAAAAGAGAGACAGATAGACTGACAGCCTCCCATATGCTAGTTCACTCTCCAAATGACCAGTGAGCAGGGCTGAGTCCTGCTGAAACCAGGGGCCCAGGTCCTAGCGTCCTCCTTTGCTGCTTTCTAGGGTGTAGTGGAAAGGAGATGGATTGGAAATGAAGCAGCCAAGACTGGAACCAGTACCCAAATGGGGTACCAGTATCATAGGCAAGTGGGTTAACCTACAGGGCCACGATTCTGGCCACTTGTTTCTCTTTACACCTAAGAGCTTTCTTTATATGGGCTTTATCAGTTGATATTTATTATACCAGAAATTAAAACAAAATGTTAAGACACAGGAATGTATAAGATGTGATGATGTCATCACATATGGTCATGTAGCTTTTGGAAAACTCCTTTGCACCTTCTTGAAGTTGAGAGTAAACCAAGAAATACTGCCTCAGTATTACTATAAAATCTATTTAACATGCCGACCCTGCAAAATGCACAACTGACCACACATCTCACCAACACATCTACACTTGAGAACTATTAGTTTGAGTAATATTAGCTTTTTAGTCAGTAGAATTACAAATAACAGATTGTGCCAGCATTCCAAATTCTTTTCCTACATATGATACATACATGTAAACAAAGTAATAAATCATTAATTGAAAAAAACAAGATTGTATACCGTATGGAGCACATGTCAACTCAGGCTGAAGCTGAGCTCTAGAACTGTTGAAAAACAAAGAGGGGAAATATGCTATCAGCTAGTCAGACAGCAGAGAGGGACAGAGAGATCTTCTATTTACTGGTTCATTCCCCAAATAGCCACAACAGTAGGGGCTGGACTGGGCTGAAGCCAAGAACCAGGAGCTTCCTGCATTCTCCAGTGTGGATGCAGGGGCCCAAGGACTTTGAGCCATCCTCCACTGCTTTCCCAGGCCATCCCCTGGGAGCAGGATTGGAAGTGGGGCAGCTGAAACTTGAACTGGCACCCATATGGGATGCCAACATCACAGGTGCCATGCTGACACCAGTCCTAGAGGGTTCTTCTCCGCTGTCCCTCTACGCACAGTGATGTCCTTACTTGGAGTCTGCAACTCAGTGTGACCTGCAGTTACAGCCAACACTTAGCAAACAGGTGTATCATCAACACTGACATAGCTCCATCGTGTTGTGCTTTGTCCTCAGCAAAGTTCCAATGGCCCCGTCAAGAAGTCCATGCGGGAGAAGGCTGTGGAGAGGCGGAACGTGAATAAAGAGCACAACAGTAACTTTAAGGCCGGATATATTCCCATTGATGAGGACCGACTCCATAAAACTGGGCTGCGGGGCAGAAAGGGCAACCTGGCCATTTGTGTGATCATCCTGCTCTTCATCCTGGCCGTCATCAACCTGATTGTGAGTGAGCAGCACAGAGCTCTCTGTGGCTCCCGGGGCTGGGGCTGAGGGGGTACCCTGTGCATCAGCCTCTTAAGGTCATGGACTTGTCTGTAGCCTTCACTGGGCCTTGCTTGTTTTCTGCTTTTTCATGCAAGTTTTATTTCCCATTGGATTTAATCAATACTTTATGCATAAAAATCATGCTATGTTAATATTTCCATGGTGTCGGATCATTTAGGAACAGATGTCAATAGCTTATCTTTTAATCAGGGTAGAGTTAATAGAAGAGAACATGGGATTTAATTGCCCTTGGCCTCTCTTAAAAGAAAGAAAAAAACAGAATCCTTTTTAATTTCATATCACTTTTCCTGCTTTTCCTGTTGCCTCTTCAGCTTGATTTTCAGCAGAAAAGCAGTGGTGCCTTTTCCGCTGCTGACAGTGGAGGGTGGCATCTCAACGTCCTCACTCCCTGATGTACAAGAAGGAACGAGCGTGGGAAGCTGATGCACACACGTGGCGCTCAAGGCCAGACAGGCTGCCTGTCTGAGGTCCCTCTTATTTCATAGAAGGCGGCTCCCTAGGCCAAGGCTGGGGCTGTGCGAGAGGTACCCAGCAGCCCTTGAGCCTGCAGGCCGACATTTCAGAGCAAGTAACCACTGGGCAGCCCAGGACTACTGATGACAACCATGGTTGCAGACATTCCAGTGTGGTTCTGTGTATGCCGTTTTTGACTTGTAATGTACTTAAGCCAGGCATTTGATGGGCTTCCAAAATGTCTTGTGTCTAATTCCTCATTCAGGAAGAAAATTAGGAGGGGCACATATTCTGGATTGATTTTGCAAATGTACTTCATCAGAGATGCCCAGTTCAGATAGCAGAACAAAAACTGTCTTTATCCTCCTCTCCACAAGCTCATGCCAGAGTGACAGAACCCCCCTGGAAGCCTAAGTGTGGGCTGCTTCCTCTCAGCACCACCCCCTCCCAACAAACTGGTGAAAACTCACCCAGTCTCCCTGACCCGGTCCCTGGCTGACAGCCTCCCTGTAGCGTGAGCTCCGAGCCAGGAGTCAGTGGCTTTGGAAGAAATCTCCAAGTCCTAAAAAATGAGAGACCCCAAACACAGAAAACCACACAGAAAACAAATTCAGGAAGATGGGGAAAATACAGTGAATTACAGAAATTCCCCCAAAAATAAATGTCTTGAAAAAATAAGAGGATATTATATCCATGAAACAAGAATAAGATGCCATTTAAAAGGAACAATTAAAGAACTCAGAAAAATGTGCCTACATAGAGACATGGATGGATAGATATACATAAAATGAATGCTATATATATATATGGATAGATGTATGGATAAATCAGTAAATAAATAGTAGATAAAACAAACTAATCCAGAAAGCTCAACAAATTTAAAAAACCTAGTGTAGGAGCTCTAACATGCTGTCAACAGGAGTTTCAGAAAGGGAAGACACGAGAGAGAAGGTTTTTAGATAAATTAAAATCTCCTAGAACGGATTGAAGATCGTCATTCTGTGTCTAGCATGGTGCATAAAAAAGAATTATGCTAAGGCTGTCAGTGTGGAAGTTAAGCAAGTCAGGACTGGGACAGGTGTTCTGGCCAGCACTTGAACTTCTCGCATTAGAGCACCTGGGCTGGACTCACCGCTCCACTGCTGATGGCAGCTTCCTGCTACTGCACACCTTGGCGCACTCGGTTCACTGGGTCCCTGCCACCCCATGGGAAACGTGGACTGGCACCCTAACTCCCTCCTGGCCATTTGCAGGTACTTGGCGATGAAAATACTCTCATCCCATTCTCTCCTCTCTCTCTGGCTCTGGCTCTTAAATAATTTTTTAAATTATTAACGTAAAAACCAGGAATATAAAAGACCTTAACCCTTCAGAGCAGAAATGGATTATATGTGATGAATATACATTCAGGTGTCACTGGCCCTTGCAGAAGCAGCCTGGGTCCTGGGGGGCAGTAAAGCAGGAACTTTGCATGTTCAGAAAGAACATAATTTCAAATCTAGAACTGTTCTCCTAGCCAGACCTTCAGCTGGATATGGAGGGTTCTAAAGACACATTTGTGTCTGCACCTAGCCAAAGTCCGAAAGTCCACCTTCTCATACTTTGTTTCTAAGCAAGCCACTGGAAGATTCACCTCCCAGGAAGAGGCAATAAGCCAAGGGAGGTGAAGAAAGGGAGATGGGAGACAGGGTATCCAGCACCAGAGGATGATGGGAGTGTGAAGGCCTAGACAGTGAAGTGGGCTGTGCAGGAGGCTTGGGGAGGCTCCCGTCTCCCCTGGCACAGGAACATAGGGGCTCCAGAAAACAACGTACTGGGAGGGATAGGACCGACTCATTTTCTGAGAAGACTGGACGTGGAACACTTTTTTTTTGAGGGATCTTACATTTGTATTGGAAGGCTTGACGTTTAGATTTTCCAAGAAACTCAGTGAGTTCAAGACAGGAATATTGAGCTCTGCAAAGCAGAGTGCACTGGCCCCAGAGCCCCGTGTCAGCTGCAGTGGGAAATGGCATGCACCTGGTCATAAGACTGAGCAGGATTTAACTGAGTTGTGAGACTGCAATTACCAGAAAAAAGGGGGTATAAATGTCCCCAAATTTTCATCTGCTAAAATAGAAAGTCACTAGTTACAATCTAAAATTAACAAGCAACGAAATAATACCATCCAAGTATTATTTAGACATAGAAAGAAAAATCTAGAAGAAATAGCTAGAATTACTGAAAGGGGTTGGCTCTGGGGAATAAAATGTAGACAAGGTAGAAGAAATATATTGTTTTAATTACCCCTGGTGCATCCTGTTAGCTGTTTTTGCATGATACTTTGATAAAAACAAAACTGGTTCTATGTAAAAGCAGAAAATCAATTGATATGTTCTAGGAAGTATTTCAACTTGGGGTCCCTGAGGTTTTCTATTTGTCTCCCACTTGTGTTGAATGTATGCTATCAACAGGGGGCTCACGTTGTTTTTCAGATAACACTTGTTATCTGGGCTGTGATTCGCATCGGGCCGAATGGCTGTGACAGCCTGGAATTCCACGAAAGCGGCCTGCTCCGCTTCAAGCAAGTGTCTGACATGGGGGTTATTCACCCTCTCTACAGGAGCACCGTGGGAGGAAGGAGGAATGAAAATTTGGTCATCACTGGCAACAACCAGCCTGTGAGTAACCCTGCTGCCTGAAGTCCAGCATGGGGAAGGCAGGGACAGGGGGCAGGGGATGGCATTAGAAGAAAAGTGTTTGCAAAAATCTACAGCTGGTGATTAGAAATTGACATTTTCCCTTAGAGGAAATTGATATGTTGCTGGTGTACATTCCTAAGCATGTATAATACTGACTGTGTAATAATTAAGTCATCAAGATTAAGTCACATGATTGGTCTTAGAATCAGTCAGAGTCAGCTGCTGACTTAATGCTGTAGGCATTGGTCCATAGGTGTGTTTTCTGTGACGGCTGTCCTTAGAGTCACAGAGGACACTATTTTCCTTCTGGGAAAGCCACTGAAGAATAACCTCTCCCTAGGAAAATGCCTGGATTTTCCAGGAATCTGGAAGATAACAAATCAGTCTAGGCAGTGGCTGCTGTAACAGGTTTTCAAGTGAGCAAAACCTCCAGGAAGCATCGTCACTGCTGCTCTGGCTATTGTGGGCCTTGAACTGGGTTCCCATCCACCCAGGCACTTGGGCAGGGCAGTTAAACAAGCAGAGAAGCCTTCATTTAATATTCAGAATTTTAATTAAGTAACCTGAGAGGCACAAAGAGACAGGCAGAGATTCCATCCTAGGCTGCCCCCGCTACCAGGAGCCAGGATCTCGGAGAGCAAGCCGGGGGCAGGGGGGGGAGGGGGAAGGCTGATCACCCCCCCCTCCCGGGCTGTGCATTAGCAGGAAGCTAGCCTGGGACACAAGCAAGGACTCAGTCCAGCACTCCAGCAGGGCTTGCGGGCATTCCAAGCAGTGCTGTGACTGCCACTGCGAAACGCCCGCCTCAGAGCCTTCGTTTTAGAAGGTTCTTCTGGGGGCAGAGGGGAGGGAAGGCACAGATACAGCATTTGGAGTTAGTCCATTATTGCAGTTTTTTAAAATGCTGCATTTTTTTTTTAAGATCACATTCTTTGTGAATTTTAGCCACAGTCTTTGAAAACACGTTCCCAGTAAGATGTTTTTCTGCAGATTGTTTTCCAGCAAGGGACAACAAAGCTCAGTGTGGAGAAGAACAAGACGTCCATTACGAGTGACATTGGTATGCAGTTCGTGGACCCAAGGACACAGAATGTCTTATTCAGCACAGACTACGAAACTCATGAGTTTCATTTGCCAAGTGGTGTGAAAAGTCTGAATGTTCAAAAAGCATCCACTGAAAGGGTATGACTTATGTTGTCTGCTTGGAAGGGAGAGCATTGTGGCAGGCGGCCTCACTGCTGTAAGCGGTGGGCAGATTGCTCAGGACTGGTTCTGGCTCTGTCTTTAGATTACTCACCAATTCATAAGTCATGTCTATCTCCATTTTAATGTCTGTAAGATGAACGAAAAACTTGCATTTCCTATGTCATATTTGAAACTTTTTGTTCATCTTAAAGTTCTTTTCAGTATTTTTTTTTAAACATTTTCAGATTACCAGCAATGCCACCAGTGATTTAAATATAAAAGTCGATGGGAGAGCTATTGTGCGTGGAAATGAAGGTGTTTTCATTATGGGCAAAACCATTGAGTTTCACATGGGCGGTAACATGGAGCTGAAGGCTGTGAGTATTATTTTAAGAGTTTAAGAGAATTATTAGGTCTTTAGATATTTAAATCCATGTGTGGAACATACAGTCGTTAAAAATGATGATGTAGCTGTATATTTTCTGTCTTGGAAATATATTAAAAATGGATTGTAGAGTGAAACAAAGATGCAAAACAGTTTGTGAAATATTGCATGTGTATTTTTCAGAACATATATATGTTTATAAAAACCTAGAAGTGTATATGAAAACACAACAAAATTTAGCAGTAGGCAGCAGGATCTCAGAGAATTGCACTTATTTCTGCTAGCTGGTATTTCCTAGATTTGAGGGTAGGCATAGAAATCGCTCGTATTTCTGCAGTGCCCTCTGCCCAGGGGAGGGGTGTTCCAAGGCTGCCCTCCTCCCACCAGGAGAAAGGATGTCTGAAAGATGTTTGCCTGTATTGTGGCTGTTAGAAGCACAGTTTTCTTTGTGCTCCCCACTTTCTATCTGAGCATTAACAGGTATCGAGCTTCGCATGAAGGAGCCATGAGCCCAGCACCGCTGTACTGCCATGCACATCTGGGCCAAGCATCTTTCATCAGAACACCTCGGGTGCTGCCGAGTGCTAACCCAACACCGACTCAGCTGGTCTAACCATGCTTTCTTCCTAAAACAAAAGCAAAGTAAAACCTTATCATAAGTCTCTCTTTCTTAAAGAAAGGAATCCAATTTCATCATTCTAAAACAACCAACTTTAAAATATTAAGTGGCTGTTTGGCTTTCGTCAACACATTTCCCTCTAAATCCTGCAACCCGCGCCTGGTTAGTAATGAAGAGCCTGCTGTGGGATCGCAGGGGAGCTCAGCAGCCAGGGTGAATGCTTTGTACACCATCACAGCGGGTCACCAAGGGCTGGTGCTGTCCACCTTCCAAAGCGCAGTGAATTACAGGAAACCATCAGCAAATTTCCGAACTCTTTTTTTTTTCCACTTGAAATGTCTTCTTCTGTTCTATCCTGTCAGTTTAACAAAGATTTAGCTGCTTTGAAGCAGGCATGCACACACTCAGTGGTTAACTGAGCTAGCCATTAAGAAAGAATCTTACCTGGAAAACACTCCTTGAGAAACCATTTTTAGAGAAAGTACAGCTAAATGACCACCAGGTGGCAGCAACGGAACAAAATTGGAACTCTAGTCCCTCAGGCATTGCAGCGGGAGCAGGCAACATTGCTGCTTAATCAGCCACTGCTCTTTACAACCAACTTTCTCTTGCTGCTTCAAATACTGCCTACACTGCTTCAACTTCTCCCCCGAAATGAGACTCATGCATCAAACTACCCACCTACCTTCTCTAGGGTGAACCCAGCAAATGTAATAAGTCTTAAATCTTAATGTCCTCCTTCACAGCACACAAGCATCCCTCCATGTCCCCATTGTGCACATGGGTGTCCCTCAGTCCTTATGGCTGTACCTCCCAAAGATGCCTAGAGTCGGATCATTTCCATGACTTCCACTACCATGCTGTACACCACCCTCACTGCTGATCTGGGCTGCAGGAGCAGCCTCCCCGTCAATGCCTGGTCCTTGTCGTCCGATACCACATGGCAGGCAGAGTGGACTTTTTAAAAGGATCCTGTCACTGCCCTATTTGGAACCCTCGAACTGGCTTCCCACCCATTTTGGAACACAATCAAGCGACCATTCCTCAGACACTGATGCCTCCTCACCAATGATCTCTTGGCTCCTCACCTATCTGTTGGTCCCCGCACTCTGCATCACCCACCCCAGTCTCTTCCCAGCGTGTGTCCCATGTGACAGTCCCACCCCATTGCAATACCAACACTGTGAGAGCTAGGACTGGGCCTGTGCTATTCTGCATCTGCAGCACCTAGAGGAGTGACTGTCCTTGGTCAGCACATACTGATCATCAGGCAGAAGAATGAAAGAAGAGAGAGAGAGTGTGTGTCCCTGAAGAGGAAGGCTTCTGAGCCTGACATGCAAGAACATTCCCGGGACAGTGGGCTGACAAAGCAGCTCTCCAGAGAGCGTCCTCTGGGTGCCTGCACATAAACACACACAGCTAGAACGTGTACTGTGTGTCACAGAAAGATTGGTGTTAAAGTTCACCCTGTCTAGGAGAAAAATAGTCTCATCATCACAGATTCACCATTAACTCTCTGTTACAACTCACAAAGGAAAATGACCCGAAATTTTATCACACTCAAATTTCAGACCCATTGAGGGAAGCCTTCTGGAACTGTAGCTAGTCACTGAGGAACAGACGGAAGTTGCGGCTGTGTTGACATGCGTTCAGCATAAACGGGGTCCGCTCCTCGAGTCTGGAGGCTGGCTTTGTTTGCCCTTGTCGCTATTGTTTTGGTCGTGGCTACTCTCACTGCAGAGTGAGTCCAGCCTGGTAACTAGACCCACTCCTGGAGGTTATTTAAACCTATCACATTTCTCCCAACAGGAAAACAGCATCATCCTCAATGGGACAGTGACGGTCAGCACAACCCGCCTGCCGAGTGCGTCCGGCACAGACCAGCTGGGCAGCAACGACTGGGTGCGTTACAAGCTCTGCATGTGCGCCGACGGCACCCTCTTCAAAGTGCAAGTCACCAGCCAGAACATGGGCTGCCAAACTGCCGACAATCCGTGCGGGAGCACGCACTAGGCGGCCCTCACAAGCCACTGCCGGGTTCCCAGTCAGACTGGGCCTTTTGTTACGCGGGTGCATGCGAACCCTCGTTTCTCCACAGCGTGCAAGAACTCAACTACGACAAACCTGAACTGCAGAGCGCGGCTCTGTCTGCCACGTGGTCACCGCATTTCACACTAGTTCTCAGAGAGTCTAATTCTTACACATTAAGTTGCACTGATCTGCCAAGGACCGTGCTCATGAGGAATCATGAGAAATGAATAGCATCAAAACTCATTTTCCAAGAGGTGTTTTTTTCAAACCCCACTCTGCTCTGTCTGAGGATAAAGGACGAAGCACCTGCTGAGCCCCACGTAGGTGAGCTTTCAGACCCCAACAGGGAGCAACCCCCACCCCCGAAACCATCACAAAACACGGTCAGCGTTTCCATCTGTGGCTTCGGGCTTCCAGAGGGAGAGCTGTAGGTTTTAGCACTTTGCCCTGAAGCCACATCTACATGCAAGAACTCAGCCTATGGGAGACGGTAAGAAACTGGATTGAAAGAAAAGACTCCATGATCGGATGTGTACTTAAAATAATGAGAACTGTTAAGTGTTCACAATGTGGTATAAACTAAAACACAATCTCAACATTAACTTCTGAGTCACAGTGAGAGATGTCACAGAGCACCTTGTGTGTAAGATGGCTGGTACCCACCACAACTCTGAGAACAGATGCTGTCAGCTCCCTTTATCCACAGAGCACTGGGAATCAGAGAAGTGAGGACATTTGCCTGCAATCATGTGGTCAATTCAGGTGACTGCAAATGCCATGTTGTTGCTATCCGCACCGAATTTTTCAGTTGTTACAACTCCAGAGGAACAAAGGCCAATTCAGACTTACCCAAACAAGTGGGAATCACAAAACAAATACGCTGATTCTATTAAAAATACTAGATCACATGTCAGATTAAAAATGACCAATCACTGTCACATTCTAAACCCTTTTGAGCTGATTATAAACTATCGTCCCAGGGACGGGCCTGCTTGTGGCTTACCCGAGTTCCCTAACCTTTAAGCCTTGCCCCCTGAAGTACCTGAATGGGTGCCAGGGAGATAGATATTTCTACCATCAGCTCTCCAGGCAACACAGTGCAAAGTGGGCAGACCGTGGGCCCAAACAAGGCCTGTGGGCTAGCAGGGGGCCTGGGTGTCGGGAAACACTGGAGACAGGAGGCTAACGTAGGTAACACAGGAAGTTGTCACTGGGTTTATCCATACCCTTGATGTCACTGTCCCATTGTAATTCTTTATAGTCCTCAAGCCTGTTGATTTTTAAAAATGTATTTCATATTTTATTGAAAAGAAACTGCAATAATTAAGGCATCCACAAGATCAGGGACTTGGATCTATCCCACCTTCTCTCATACCTCGACCCTCCCACCCTAGTCAGTGGTCCTCATGGGTGCGCATTCTTCTCAACTATGTGAACAACATCAAAAATAAAATTAAAAAAAAAAACAACAACAACAGGGACTTGGTATGCAGAGACGTACAGTAAGGCCTCCCCCTGCAGTCAGGTGCAACCATCAGGTGGTTCTGTCATGGTAGCGTTCCAATGGATAAGAAAATCAATCCAAACGCAATTCCTAGTCATTACTGTCAGAGTTCTGATAGAAAACCAAATACTTTAGAATTAATGCCAATAAATTATCCTGAATAAAAGTACAGTTTTAAAACAAAAAGTTATACCTAACCAAGTACAGTTTTTAAATGAATTATGACCTCTTAATGTTCCTGGTTGTAATGCTATCTGAACCCATTTGGATATATTTGGTATCATTTAGTATGTGATGGTACTCAACAGCCATAGTTGGAATTTTCATCTAGATACTTGGCCTATTTTTAAATTGTACATTTATTACTTGTCTGCTCTATTTAGATTTGGTTTTGAAAGTTTCCTTAAATAAATATTTTTCCAAAAACCACAGAACGCTATGTTAGAAAATATTATTGAAAGTAACTCATGAGACAATCTATTTTTACTGCTCTTTGAGAAACACATGTGTTTTTTTTGACGCATCTCCATTAAATGCTTTTGACCCAAGAGGGAATTTGAATGTCTTTCTAGAACTGGTTGGTAATAGGGAATTTAGGATACTTGACAGGAAGACCTTGCTTTTTCTCCCTGAAACACAAGCCATACCCCGAGCAGCAGCACACGGGCGCTTCCGCCATGTTCCACCCATTTCTACCCACGATCTCGGGTGATGCAGTGTGGCCTCGCAACTGCTCCTCACCGCCAGAATACTTCTCTGTCATCTGAAGACATTCCTTCTCCTGGTGTGTGTCCACTGTCCTGTCCTGCACGCCGGCAGCAGGAGCAGAGGCCCAGGAAGAGGTCGGTGACAAAGGCAGCCCCAGGATGAAAAAACAAGGGCAACAAATGGCATCTGTGTAATATCTTTTTAGACTGTAATGGACAGGTAGGAAAAATGCAAGGGACTTCCCAGCGTACAACATATTAAAATGGACTTACTGTAGTCTTTCTGCATTGTGATAATACATCCTGTGTGACAGCTTCAACAATGAAAAGTGGACATTCCGAATGAGTGGATTTAAAGAATTCTGTGGTGCTGAACTTAGCAAAGAAGATATCACTGAAATTCTGATCATTTTATTAATTGTTTTAAAAATATTGAGAGGGGCAAGGATTACAAATTGCATCGTAGAGAAAATGATTCAGCTTGCAACCTAAAGGTTCAGGAGTTTTATTTGTAGTCATAACTATTAATGCCTTCTACTCACAATAAAAGTTCTATGAACAGTCTGCTGTGAGTTCTTAATGGTTATACATTAACACATTGCTGCCTAGTCATGCGCACACGATGAGTCTGAGTGTGGCTCAGGAACGGGACTGTCGGGGTTTGTGTAAGCGCTGTGGAATCCCAGAAGTCCAAAGTGTACTTCCCCGCCAGGCTGTACCTCTGAAAGGCCTCTCTCCTGCACCTGCAGGAAATGGGCTCCCGGTGGCCACAGTGAGCTGGCCAACCGGAGGCCAGAGCCCGGAGATGCTGCTGTGAGGGCCTGTCGTAGGCCAGGCTCTGAGGCAGGCTGGGTGGAACCAACCAGGCGTGGGTCAGAAACCCCACCTGGTGGGACCCAGCCCCGGATCCACTGGGACGGCCGGCAGGACTGCAGGTATGCCTCCTGTGTGGTGGTTGCTTTTGTTCTGATGGGTCCTCTCCTTTCCTTGTATATAAGATCAACTCGGCGTTTCCCTTCTACTTTGCTTTTCTGTTTTGTTTTCCCTAAGACACACACTTCATACTGGACTTCAGTTTGTGTCCATTTTGATATTGACATTTACCTAATTATTCCCCATTTCCTCAGGAACTTTTTCTGGAGTTTCCAGTGGTGGCTAATTTGTATGTAAATGTCGATCATTTTTCTTTACAAATGAGTACGATTCTCTTGGAGGTATCCGATTACCCTCTGCTAGCTGTCTTGAGCTCTATTAGCTAATCTATAGATCTTGTCAACTTACAAAAAGCAGAGAGTACATTTTAAAATCATTTTTTTTCTCAGAAAAATCATTGATGTCAATACTGCCAAGTTGTGTACCTCTGCAGAGGGATGGTTTATTGTCGCTGCTGTCACAGTAGTTTGGTGTACCACTGCACATGTGAGGACCACAGCGTCCTCCAGAGAAGCATGTATCTTTTCCACTGGGCAAATTAATTCAATTTCTGGTATTTTCTAAGGAGCAAACTATAAAAACAAGTAACTGTTCCATGCCGTAGGGCACCTTAACAGTTCATGGCCACATGTGCCTGAATTTAGATGCCCTTCAAAATACGAGGGAACTGACCTTGCATGAAACAAGTTTAAAATTTACATCATAGATTTCATTCATGGAGACAGGGTATAGTGCCATGACAGAATACAGACTATTAAAATATGAAACATGGGTGTTTATACAGCACACATCTCAGTCCTAATCTTTGGGGGAAGTTCAAAACACACAAAGCAAGGCACTAACCATGCATGATACAGTATTCATGTTCAAACTCAAGGTTACCAACATTCACTCTTTACTAAAAGATTTCTGAAAATAAAAAAAAAAATTAGAGGCTAAAGCAGGAAAAGGAGGGTCTTAGGTGACAGGATACCTACAAGTTGGATTAAGAGGGTAAAAAATACACTTAACTTGGATCTTGGACTGAACTAAAGCAAATTGCTTATTTGGGATATCATATATATACTTAACATGCTAAAATTTGCTTTGTTTAGTCCCATTGGTTTTGCACAAAGTCACATCTTGCAAGTTGCTCCACACATTCTTATCAAACTAGTTCACAAGGTTAGCTAGCAAACACACAGCCTCCACTCGGGGACTTGGACTAGAGGCAATGTAAGGAGCCCATGGAGAATTCTGAATGAAGCAATGATCTGAGGGATAGTATGGGAAAATAATCCTCTGAAATGACCTAGGATGGTCAAGAAGGAACAGCCAGAGGCAGAGGCAGAAAAACCAGTTAAGCTATTCTAGGATCTCAGACTATAATGGTGGGAATGACACTAAGTACCCTTGGACCAGAAAGAAAGAGAGGGTTTATTTTAAACTGACATGTAGAATAATGTGGGGCCCAGTGCAATAGCCTTGTGGTTGAGGTCCTCATTTTGCATGCCCCAGATCCTTGTGTTCCAGCTGCTCTAGTTCCCATCCAGCTCCCTGTTTGTGGCCTGGGAAGGCAGTAGAGGACGGCCCAAAGCCTTGGGACCCTGCACTTGCTTGGGAGATCCAGAGGAAGCTCCTGGGTCCTGGCTTCAGATCAGATTGGCTGAGCCCTGGCCACTGTGGCCACCTGAGGAGTCAACGAGCAGATGGAAAATCTCTCTCCTTCTCTTTCCATAAGTCTGGCTTTTCAATAAAAAACAAATCTTTAGAATATATGATTAGCTTTATTCATGCTGGTTTTTAAATGGAATTTAAATCACAGAAACTACTCATTTACTTTGTCTTGTATGTGCAATTATCCCTTGTGATTTACATATAGTTTTAAAATTTTCAGTTGCTTCTCAAGAAAAATATTCTTGACGTCTATAACTTATTTCATTTTCCTGGTTCTGAGACAGAACCTCATTTTTATCATATTTATGCTGCATATATTTAAATGACGTAAGAGGTCACAAACACCACAGAACCAAACCCTGTACTTCTGGTTGTTAAAAAAAAAAAAAAAAAAAAGTTCAGTTCTTTGTGAGTTGATCTTTACATTCAGACCACACTGGAAGGTTCACAATGGAGCCAGGTGGATGTCATTCATGTAATGAATCACATGACTGACTACAGTGCTGTAGATAAGCATGAGACTTTGCTCCATACTAATGACTGGCAGAGAAAGGGAAGGTTGTGAGCTTGTGAGCTAGCTAAGTTTTCAGGCATTAGGAGGCAGACAGCCTGGTGGGTGGAGACCAGGAAAATAGCTGTGGTGGCAAAACCTGAGTGTGTATTTTCTAAAAATTCAGGGACATGGAACATCTTTTCTTTAAAACATGACAATATTTTATACTTTAGCCCTATCCCTCTGGGAGCTGGGTTTTAGTACCTCAGTTTCTAAGAAATCAGACACTGAAATCAGCAATCAAAGCAAAACAGAAAATGAAATCTACTTTGCTGTTCGTCTTTATGTAAGGGATTTTGAGTAAGTTCATTTTCCTTTTTCCAGGCATGATGAGAAGCCTCCATTTCAGAGTCACTGTCATAGTTCTAGGTCTTTGTTTTCCTGGGACAATGGCAAATCCAGCAGGGAACAGCGGCGGTCCTGTCGATTCTGGGTGCCAAGGCAATGAACACCTTCAGACCAATGGTTCCTTCCCTGGAGAACACGAGGGATTGCAAGCAACAGCCACAGTCGATGCCAGTTTCAATTTCTTCAGAGTTCTCTTACGTTCTCACATGAAACAAGAAGAGTGGAAAATCAAACACCTGGACCTCAGTAACAGTCTCATATCAGACATGACCTTAAGCTCTCTCCAGTATGCACCTGCTCTGGAAATACTAAACCTCAGCAACAATGCCATCTGTTCCATCTCATTGGATGCGCCCAGTCTTGCATCCTCACAGTTGACACGCCACAGAAGCAGCTTCAGAGATGGACTTCCATTTCTAAAGGTGCTAATTCTTCAACAAAATCAGCTTAGTGACACCCCCAAGGGTAAGTACAATTTTAGAAGATGAAGTAGAGGTTCAAAGTTGGGTGGTGTATTCTTAAGGATTTTATTTTTATTTCAAAGACAGAGTTACAGAGAGGAGAGACAGAGATATCCATCTTTTTTTCTGCTGGTTTGCTCCCCAAATGGCCATCAAGGCCAGAGCTAGGCCAGTCCAAAGCTAGGGACCAGGAGTTCTTCCAGATGTTCCACATGGGTGCAGGGGTCCAAGGACTTGAGCCATCATCTCTGCTGCTAAGACCATAATAAAAGAGCTTGAACAGAAGTGGAATAAACAGGACACAAATCAGTGCCCACATTGGATGCTGGTGCCACAGGCAAAGGCTTAGCCTACTATGCCATGGCACTGGCCCTGAGGTGGGTGTTTCATTTGGTAGTCTGGATGCCAAATACAGCCCCACATTCCACCTCAGGGGGCCTGGGTTCAAATCCTCAGTTCCATTTTTGATTCCAGCTTTGTGCTAATGTGCACCCTGGGAGGCAGGTGGTAATGGTTCAAGTACCCGTGTCCTTGCCAGCCTGGTGGGAAATACAGATTGATTTCTAGGCTTCTGGCTTTGACCTTGCCCAGTTTAGCTGTCGTGGGCATTTGGAAAGTGAATTAACAAATTAGAGGATGTACACACTCTAATAGTCCCTTTCTCCCCCTCTCTGCCTCTTTCACTAAGATGGAGATGACAGAAGAACAATGAACATACATAGAGTTAGTGTTTTATGTCAACAAGAATTTCATATTGTTTCTTTAGTTTGAAGCAAAACACTGAAAGTGAAGCAATTTGATCAGAACAAGTAAATTTAATTTCTTGGCAGAACTGGAAGTTATTATACACAGAACTCACAGTCAATGATATTTAATCTCTCATTTAGTATAATTCCCACCAATTTATATGGATTTTTCAAGAGACCCTAGGAAGTATTTAGTGCTAAGTTAAGATGCATGACTTTATCTACTAAATTACTTGTTAATACAGAAAACCACTGAGAAATAACTAATTCAGTTTTATTATATATGTAATAATTCAAATTAAATGTTGTTATATTTGATCGTCTTACAATACCTTTTGTTTACACTTATCTAGTTTTCATCCAAGTGTAGTCTAGAAGTTGGTTAATTTTATGTATTACTATGTAAGCTTTTGTATGATCAAATAAAGCTCAGATTGCCTGATCCCAGCTCCTAACATGATACTTCCCTTTGTCCTATTATCATGAATTCTGATCTATTCAAGGCTACACAATAGAATGTTTTTACTAATATGCCAAGTGTTATTTTGAAAATATTTCAAGTTCATGAAGCCAAATATGCTTTGCCTTTTAACATTCCAAAGCATTAGAACAGTCCGTTTCCTCACGTGCATTGATTCTTGTTTGGTGTTTGCTAAGCACCTCCTTTGTACAGCAACACAGTCCTTTAAAAATCAAAGCATCCAGGCAGTGTCTTCTTCCTCCATCCCAAGTAGGACATATTTGAGCTTTCTGACTTTCCAGTTCTTCCCTTTGGTACTTTTATTTTGGACTTTGCCTCAGGCTTCTGTCCTGAAGCATCATTTTGTCACTAACAGCTGGTGAGGAAATGACTGTTCAAGTTCCCATGTGAACAGAACTGTGTGAGGAAGTCCTGAGTATTTTCTCTCTGACCTCTTCCTTAAAGCAACATATAGTATTTTCAGTATGAAGTGTAGGTTGGTTGCATTTTATTTTGCGAATGCGAATGTAATTTCCTACTGTTCTTATTGCAAAAGGAATACATGTTATAGAATACCTAGGAATTGACATTAGCAGTAGAAAATTTTTAAAAATTCATATATTGCATATATTCCAAATTAATTTTTTATACCTATACCTACATTTTTTCCGAAACTGGATCATCTTTTAGATAATATTTCATGATTTATAATTTAATATCATGAAATATTTTTCAAATAATTATATGACTCAGCAATCTAATACATTTTTTAAATGAAGAGGTTTTTTTATATACATGTATTTCATAGTGTAATCCAACAATATTTAGGCTATTTCCATTTGAATGAACATCCTTACCAATGCCTTATCATAAGGCATTTTTAAACTAATAAGGCAGACATGAATCTCACTCCACAAATTCAAGTGTCCTAGTCAAACAAGCTTCTGTTTGAAACAATATATTAATTCTGAGCTTCCACTGAGGGGTTGGTTTGTACGGATACTTAATGTCCTCTGCCTTTCCCTACAACCTCTAATACCATTTATGCTGACAAAGCACCAAGGGCTCTGTGTGTGTGTGTGTGTAATCCCTCTCTTCAAAGCACGGAGGTTTTTGGAAAACACCACAACTGGCAGACTCACAGGTTCCCTGCCTTTTGTCCTATATCGTCCCTGAGACACAAACACAGTCTGCTTTCTACCTGAAGGGGAGAAAAAGAAAGGAGCAGGAGCAAAACACTAGCATTCCAAGACATTATTCCACCAGGGACTGGCACAGTGAATGGCACAAGCTGCTACTCCACCTGCAGCGCCAGCATCTCATATGGGTACTAGTGCATTTCCGTTCCAGCTCCCTGCTGATGGCCTGAGAAGGCAGCAAAGCATAACTCAAGTCTTTGGGTCCCTGTATCCACATGGAAGACCTGGCTCCCACCTTCAGCTCAGCTCAGCTCTGGATGTTGTGGCCATCCGGGGAATGAACCAGAGGATGGAAGGCATCTATCTGTCTCTCCCTGTATCTCACTATAACTCTGACTTCCAAGTGAAATAAATAAATATAGTTTTAAAAAAAAGATGTTATTCCGTCAGAAAAGTAGATAGAGAACTGTCAGCAGATTAATTCCCCAGAGCCAACTGATTGTTGGGTTTTATACAATTCCACTGAAGTACTAAATATCACATAAAGGCAGAAACAGGCCTGTGTTCCTTTTTCAAGTTAAAGTTGTGCCTCTCCAAATATCAGGAAATAATATTAAGTTTGCAAAGGAGAAAAAAAGTAAAATGTATGAATTTTATAACTGAAATACTATCAGGATTTCAGCAAATGAAATCATAGAGATGAATAAAACATCTGTCCAATGTAAGCCATATGCCTAATTGCATTTAATCCAGAGTCCTTTTACCCATGACATTTTGTCATTTGAATTGCTTTTCCAGAATCATCATAAACTGTCCATTTTTACTAGGTTGAGTATCCTCAGACAACCCACCATTTGAGATTCTCTGAGTGTGACTACCTCTCTCTTTGAAATTTAGTTTTGGATGGAAAAAGTTGGTGGGAGAGAGATGTGCTAGTGCCAACCCATACCTAGCCTTCATTTTGTTCCCCTTTACGGCTGGGTAATATAAGCTGTATTTAATTGTGAGAATTAAACGGAAATGTATCTCAACATAACAGTATTGAGCATAATAATTTATAGCAATCAACATATGTGAAAAGTACTTTGCCAACTTGTACTTTACAAATATTAGTTTTATTTACTTGCTTGGCGCTAATTGAGAGTAGTAGTGTACTTCAAAACAACTAATTATGTTTTGTCAAATTCTCAAGTTGTCCTTTAAAGATGTTAAACAGCCACTACAAATTATGGTCAATGGGGTAACTCCTAGAAAATCATGTGTGCCTGGTTCTACATTGGTGCCAAAACTCATCCAAAATCATAATAAATTAGAGCTGTCCTCATGATTTTAGATGGGTTATAAATGTGTTTATAAATGGTGAAAAAGTGGAAAAGCCAATGTTTTGTAAGGGTGAAATACCACACAGACCAACCCAAAGTCAGCTAATCTTTATCCTTAGTCATCTGTGACATCATCAATAAGCTTTGTGCTAGATAAACACCTAGGAGAGGTGCTGGCTAATGCAGTTTACAAAATGGGGAACCTGCATGATTTAACCTAAGTCACTGTAATGCTTTCTTCACATATTTTTCAGGTATAGTGTTAATAACTGAAAAATAACTTTTGAGCTGTTTCTCAACATGGGATCAGTCTGTGGTTAAACTGTCCCACCTTCACCAGCAATATTTTCAGAGTGCCCACTGGGTTGTCCGGTAAAGTATGCCTTACTGGCAATACAGTCAAACAAGATGACAGAGGGGCACACTAACCCACAGAGTTCCAGAATCCACGAGATACGTGTGTTCTAAATGAGAGGATGTAATATCTGAAATGTAATAACTGGTAATTTTTAAAGCATATAACCAGTATGTTATAAAAACAAAGGTGTTTTTCTCTTATTCATTGGGAATTACAATTTTCATCCTGTTTGTCACTGGCTCCTGGAAACACCCCACCAATAAAAGTTCGCAAAATAGGTACAGGTTCTAAAGAAACAAAACATATGTAGGGCATTGAACCAAGAAGTCTGGCTTACTTATATTTGGCCACAAGAAGAGCTGACCTATGACTAAACTATCCATAGTCATTCTGGACTCTAATGCCAAATTATCTTTGAACTGGAGGCATAACCCACAGATATCATTGTTTTGTGGGAAAGCACTGAATAATTTCATAGTCCAGAAAGAATGTTTAGTAATGTAATGCCCAGCATTCCCCCTGTGGCCTGTTTTCTAACAGACACTGAGATGTTTTGAAAATAACAAAACTGCCTCTGGTCAGTTCAGTGCAAAGGCTAATCACATTGTGCCTGTTGTGGTCTGCACGGTCCGTAAGTAATTCCATTTCTGCACAAGGATCTCCATAGTTTCCTTCCAATGTTCATCTCCTTTCCTGAAGCCCAGGACTACCCTCGGATGACAAGTTTCAGCCAACACTTCTGCCATTCATGTTTATGGATCATGTGGGAGGTCACTGTTCTTCCTTTCCCTGAGTGTTCTCACGTGTCCTCTGGCTGGAACACACTGACCTGTGACTCCATCACCACTATCACGGTTGTGAGTCGTCCAGCAATTTAAACGTTTCCTCAAGCCCCTTAGGGATCTGTCTTTCCCACCCATCCCCTTTCTGAACCCAGGCGGCTGCTGATCTCTTTGCTGTCTCTATAGACTCATTTGTA